AAGTATCCACTCACCAAAAACAACGCTCAACAATTACCATTCCGCATTTATAACCCTCCACGACTTAACACTCATGATTCATCACTCATCGACGTTCATACTTATTAATCACTCGCCACCAGCCACTGGGCCAGCAGTCACAACGTGCATCACTCACCGCTAACCACCAAGACTGCTGGGGGAAATGCAAAAAAAACGCCCATTACACACGTACACGCAGATACACGCACGTGATTACACACACATGAACATTCACACGCATACTCTTAGTACTTTCGGTAAAGTCACGTAGGTAAAAATTTAAATTTAAATTAATAAAAAATAAAATAAAAATCACGACGTTTCGGAGGCAACACAAGTCTCCAAGTGATGCAGCAAATCTGGCTGTGACGGTCCCACCTGATGACGGAGACTTGTGTTGCCTCCGAAACGTCGTGCTTTTTATTTTATTTTTATTAATTTTAATTTCATTTTTTACCTACGTGACTTTACCAAAAGTACTAAGAGTATGAATCCTTGCAGTCACGAAAGCTTCAAATCTAGACATTCACACACACTCACGGATTCATTTACATCAAGATGCATACAAAGATCCCCCATATAGGTTACATAAACGGTTGGACCAAGTGTTGTTTGTGAGCACCTGTTAAGGTAAACAGCTCACTCATGATGCGGTCCGGTCGTATGGACAGCACCATGCCTGGCTGTCTGTCTCCCCAGTGCTGATGTTTGCACACCATAACCAGGTTCTCTCATTTAAGGCCTGAGTCGAACAAGGAAAGACCCAGGACACATTGAGACGCCACTTGCCACTACTTTTAGCCATTACCAATATTTGAACTCGGTTCGATATTTGCGTATGTACACCTATGCATATGTACACCTAAGCGTACACAAAAGCAGGGTGCATTGGTCAGGACACCGCCCGATGAAACCGGCAACCTGAGTTTAATTCCCGGTCGTGGCCAACAACATCGGTGGTGAGCGACATCTGAAAGAGCGATGGCCAGCCTCCCCCAAACCCATGTCCAACCTAGACTGCCGAGTGCGGTGAAGGGACCTCATCGGTGAAGGGCCCTCATCGCGCAATGAATTGACCGTCAGCCACAAACAATGATAAAAACAAAGATCCCGTATAGTCTGAATAAACTGTCGGGGCAAGTGCTGTTAGCGAGCACCTATAAAGGCCGGCACGGCACACAAGGGGGTGGGTGGCCAACATCACGCCCGGCCGCCTTTGTCTCCCCAGCGGCGATGTTTACACATCGCACCGGGTAATCATTTGAGGCTGAGTCGACCTAGGGGAGGCCCAGGGGCGGTTAAGATAATCGTCACTGGTGTTCGCCGTGAGCGGGAATCGAACCCGGTTCGCCGGGTTCATGGCACAGCGTAGCGCTAACCACTACACTACCGCTCTCCACCCACTCCCAAACGCACACATACATGTGAATAGTGGCATGCGAGGGTGCCTGTGTATAATATACTGCTGTTCGCCAATCAGAATTGATTTTTTGGGGCTCAGGTGGTGCGGTAATGGCCCTGGTGATGGGCACGCCAACACCAGGGATGGGGAATGGAGACAAAGGAATTAAAGGCTTCAGTCTGCCATGGCACTATTTTCACGACAGCGGTTGTTTTACTTAGGGGTGGACTGGTGGCGACAGTGGTTCATACAATGCACCGTGACCACGGGAGACCTAGGTTCGATTCCAAAGCATGGCTAACATCAGTGGAGAGAGGCATCCTAAACCCCACCACCCACCCTGTCCTCTCACCCTCCTATTCATAACTTACACAGACTCGCGTTGTGAAGTATGGTCACAAAACCCTCATGACTGACACTGCATGCGGAAGCCTTTATTCAAAAGTAGACACATAGCTGTAACAAAAATGTGTTATCCATTTTTGATGATTATTTTACATAATGTTGCACATTTGTGATGCAACGTTATGGATTTTTCAGTTGGTGGATCAAGCAGAGTCGTGAAATTCCCAAAAAACCCACTTGGGCAACGAAGTGGCGAGGAGATGGCAGGACAGCAAATGGTGTTCACGTACCCATCTGTGCAGATCTCCGAATATCATCCCCCCCTTTCTGTGGGCAATGCAGTTTGGCCAGAAGTGCAAACCACGCCGTTCGCTATCGCTCGCAGTCTCGCGATCCATCAACCATAAATCAAATTCCTGCACGCGAGCCGATTTCATCAATAAAAATAACGACGTTTACTTGATACAGATATTTAGCATGTGACAGTTTCACCTGAAGACGGAAGCTTGTGTTGCCTCCGAAACGTCGTGATTTTATTGTTTTATATTTTTTTATTAATTTTTATTTCATTTTTACCTACGTGACTTTACCGAAAGAACTAAGAGTACGATTTCATCACCCCATCTCCACAGGCCTATTTTCCTCTTGGGAGTGTTTCTCCCCTTTGGCTGCCACTCTGTCATTGGTCTCGACCGGCGGACACCATTCCAGTCTCGTGACGTGTGCGGCCCGGGCCCACTTCACAGGTACAATACGACCCGTCACGAAGGGTTTTTTTTGGGTTAGATCTCGTAAATGTGTGTCTGTTAAACCCGCCACCACCCGACACAGCCAATTAGTGAAGGTTTGTCACGTAAAACGAAACATGGCAACTAGTTACTCGTTCAGCACACCGGTTTGTTGGAGAGTAAACCCAGTTCGGCCAGATGACACATTTATATGTACACAATCTAACACCCCAAAAAACCCTCTATTGTGGATAATGTAGGTCACGGAAGCCTACTGCGTGTCAAACTGTTCAATGCAACGTCTGTAAACTTGTGTGTCACGCGTTCCTGTTTCTGCCTTTCAGTAAAAATCCCAAACACGTATCTCCCCCAAGCTCCCCCCACTGACGTTCTCATTGCACGAGACAAAGCCATCATCCCCTTTACGGGAGGCCTCAGAGATTGTTCAGATGTAGAGGGACACCGCGAAACGGAATTGGGTCTGGTGGAGCAACGAGAGAGGAGAGATGGGGGGCTATGATGTACGGGGAAGGATGCCAACAGACTGATCTGTCTGAACCCTAAGAGGTGGGTGGGGTGGTGAGGAGTCGGGGCCTTCTTAAACAAAGGGGGCTTGAGGGGTCTCAGAGACAAAGGGCAAGACGTCGAAAGGGCACGGAGAGGAGTGAGACACAGATGGAGACAAGAGATGCGGAGAGAAACGCAGGTGCGATACAAAAAGGGGACAGCGCGCAAACACGAAGACCAGATCGCCACGGCAGACACGGAGAGAAACAAAGACGCAAAGCCATTTGCCAAACCTGCATCAGTCCACTGCTGGATAAGGGCCTCCCCACGCACCTTGTCGATCACGGGGTGGGCTGGGTGGTGTTATTTGGATCATTATTTACCTGTGCTGGTTGGTTTGACGTGGGGTTACTGGCAACACGGTTCGGGTGTCACTCGCCACTGATGTTAGCCGTGAGTCCATAGGGAATGGATCGCCCCTGGGTTGTGCAACGTAGTGCGCTAAGCAACTGTGCCACCCACTGCTCCTCGTATACAAAGGCAAAGATCCCCCGTATAGCCTGTAACAGACTACCGGAGCAAGTGCAATCAGTCCATGAAGGCCGGCACGTCGCACGAGGGTTGTGGATGGCCAACACCACGCCCGTACACACACACACAAGGAGCTGAAATACATCTACACAGGCATATATAGCAATAGCATTTAACGATAACGCGTGTAACCCACAGAGACTGTAGATGCAAGCGACGTTAGAGAACACCTATTAAGTGCGGACCTAATCCAGCCCGGCCGCCTTTGTTTTCCCAGCGTCGACGCTTACAGAGACGCGCGTGTAGGATGCTGCACACTTGCCCAGTCTACCCCGGCCTTGAATGACCCTGCTAATCACAGTTCATCACATCCCAATGAAACGCGACATCACCATCACCACCATCACCTGCACCATCACCACCATCACCTGCACCATCACCACCATCACCTGCACCATCACCACCATCACCTGCACCATCACCACCATCACCTGCACCATCACCACCATCACCTGCACCATCACCACCATCACCTGCACCACCACCACCACCATCACCTGCACCATCACCACCATCACCTGCACCACCACCACCACCATCACCTGCACCACCACCACCACCATCACCTGCACCATCACCACCATCACCTGCACCATCACCACCATCACCTGCACCATCACCTGCACCATCACCTGCACCATCACCTGCACCACCACCACCATCACCGCGTTCACCAACCACCATCATCATCAGCACAACCAGCACAATCAGCACCACCAAAGACAAAGATCCCCCGTGTAGTCTTAACATGCTGTTGGGGCAAGTGCTGTCAGCGAGCACCTATGAAGGCCGACCCCAGCACACAACGGGGTGGGTCTATATACCACGCACGGTCGCCTTTGTCTCCCCCACACACCGTACCGATGTTGACACACCGCACCAGTTACTCACACGAGGCCGGGGTCTACCGAGGGATAGGCCCAGGACCGGTTCATAATAATCGCCGCTGCTATCGGTCGTGAGCGGAGAATCGAACCTTGGTGTGACCGGGTGGTTCGTAGCGCAGCGCTAAGCACTGCGCCACCGCTCCTCCGTATCACCACCAGCACCACCATCATCGCGTTCAACACAAATGTGCGTCACAGTGCACAGCACATTGTGTCAATCCACTGCTAGATGCGAGCTCACCCACCCGGGAGAGGCAGGGAGATGAGGGTGGGAGGGGGGAGGGCTGAGATTTGACCATACTTCACCACGCCGGTCCAGCACGGCACACAGTACGCAGTTGACCGACGATGCCCTAAACGATGATTGAGCGGTATAAAATCGTAAACCCGCCGGAACGCGCAGAGAATCGTCTACAGCAATAACAAAAAATAAACTCAACACCCGTACCCGTATTAGCGCATGCGAATGTAAATAATTGTAATTTTAAAAAACAAAAAACCGCGCTGTTTGTCGCTTACCTTGACGGCGCCGCGATGAGGCGAACGCCTTCCCACCAAAGCAAGCAAACCTCTCATTGTATTCCCTAGCGCGCATTGGCGACATGGGTGGGGGGGCGGGGCTTCGCCGCTCTCGCGCTGGCCAATCGCGACGCGCCTCTCGCCTCGTGCGCACTACGAAATACAAACAGATGTTTTAAAATAAGTAAATATATAATGGTGGCTTGCCGAGGACCAATCAGAAGCGAGCGTTCGGCGCGGGGGTGGGAGGGGTTTGAGGGTGGGGGGTGGCTCTCAGCAGGAGCATAGAAGTTCGGTACAACAATAAACACATTTTACTGGTAGGAACCACGTGGTTCCACCAGCCCACAGGGGATTATTGTGTCCGTCCGTCGTGCATACAAAAATGGGAGGGGTGGGGCTGGGTGGAGAGGGGAGGGGCTGGGTGGGGAGGGTGAGGAGGGGTTGGGTGGGGAGGGGCTGGGTGGGGAGGGTGGGGAGGGGCTGGGTGGGGGAGGGTGGGGAGGGGCTGGGTGGGGAGGCTGGGTGGGGAGGGTGGGGAGAGGCTGGGTGGGGAGGCTGGGTGGGGAGGGTGGGGAGAGGCTGGGTGGGGAGGGAGGGGCTGGGTGAGGAGGGGTTGGGTGGGGAGGGTGGGGCTGGGTGGGGCTGGGTGGGGAGAGGCTGGGTGGGGAGGGGCTGGGTGGGGCTAGGTGGGGAGGGGCTGGTCACCCCGTGGTGCCCTTATAAAACTCAACGTTTAACCTACTCACGCCGGCTTGTGCCCGCCCTCACAGTCGGCCATATTTGCGGAATACACCACGCCGCCGTTGACCCTGGCCATCGACCGAGCAACCCAACGTTCCTACCAGCTCCCTCCGCAGGGATGTGTTTATTTGGGGATTCTGTGGTGTTGGCAGAGGTGCAACAATTACAATTAACTAATGCAAACAAACTAAACGCATTCAATATCACCGTAGCATAAAAATATAGAAAAGGCGACTAGTCACCCAATTTTCACCGCTTCATAGGATGTATGCACAACTTTGGCTATCCGTCTGATGAAGCTGGTTGTAATTACTGGCAAAACGTCGTACTCGAATTGTAAATGTTGTGGCCTTACTTTCCAACACACCAGGCGTGCTGAATTAGTAACGAATTCGCATGTTTGTTTACGTGACAACCCTTACTAATTGGCTGTGTCGGCTGGTGGCGGGTTTAACGACACATTTGACGCGATCTAACGCAACAACCTCTATTATACACACAGTTCGTTTGAGGTGGTGGTCTGGATAAGGCCGAGAGATTTAGAATGTGCAGGGGACTTATTTGTGATGTAAAGAACATTTTACGATGGGTTTTCTCGTTGCATTTACATATTTTAACGATGGTATTGTATCTTTGCCTTTTATAAGCGATTTCAAGATGCGTTTACATTATTTGGCTGCTAGAAATGTCCACATTGAGATATAATTTGTGGCCAGGTCGCTTCCGTAAAAACACATTCCTGCGAAGGGAGCTGGTAGGAACGTTGGGTTGCTCGGTCAATGGCCAGGGTCAACAGCGGCGTGGTGTATTCCGCAAATATGCCCGACTGTGAGGGCGGGCACAAGCCGGCGTGAGTAGGTTAAACGTTGAGTTTTATAAGGACACCACGGGGTGACCAGCCCCTCCCCACCCAGCCCCACCCCTCCCACCCCCCACCCAGCCCCACCCTCCTCACCCAGCCCCTCCCTGCACGACGGACGGACGGACACAACAATCCCCTGTGGGCTGGTGTAACCAGAGGTTCCTACAAGTATAATTTAATAGCTCAGTGCTCTTTACCTGGTAAAATAAAAAAAAATAGTTCATTTTTATTTTATTAGTGATTTACTTACCTTTCCTATACTTTGCACTCCTATCGTGTTTGTGTTTTTTGTTATAATTTTGTTCACCGTCCCTACTGGACATCTCTGAAAAAGAGCTTAATAGCTCATCGGATTCCTCTAGTATGCATAAATATTCAGATTATGTTGCTTCCACAGGCGATACCAATCAGGACAATACGTACTGTACTGGAGTTAGTCTTGGCTCAATGTGTGAACCAGTCGCCCTCTAGCGAAATTGAGCGTAATTACTTACAGAAGAGGGAATATATAAACTAAACTACTTTTATTTTACCAGGTAAGACCCACTGAACTATGTAGCTCTTTTTTCATAAGCGACCTGGCCACAAATGATCGCTCAAGGAAGTGGCTTATCACGTGGTAATTTATAGCAACCAAATACTCTACATTTCTGTGATAGCAATACACCGACATATATGTAAAATGTATGAATACGTATTATGTTAAATTACATGGTTTTGCGGCCAACTGTGGTCTATGCATAAAAAAGAGGGTCTTGCCTATAAACGTTTGGCAGTTTAACAATCTTAGTTCAAGGAAACGTGACTGATGTCACAATGATGAAACCGGTCAAGAGTTTGCTTGTGTTGACTCAAAGCTGCTGTGTGTGTGCAATCTCAGAAGGATGTGTGTGCGGCTGATGGGATGAGACAAACACGTTTATTTTTGTACGTGGACGGGCAGAAATGTGGAGGCATATTGTGTTATTTTATTGTGACAGAAATAAATGCGCACCAAATTATTCATTGAGAAAGGACACGGAGCATGCTTTAGAGCTTCTATCGTCTTAACTTTATTTTTTTTATCACGATCACTGAGCACAAGCCCAAAACAATAAGTGGCCAGCAATAAAGCGCGCAACTGTTGAATTTGTAACGAATAATACGAGCTTTAAATTAAAGAACGTACAAGTTCTAAATCATGTGTGGAGGAATGAATGAGTGACATTCATGGCAACAGTAGCAATGGTATAAGAGGGATGAGCTTTCACACCAAACGTGTTCACAATTATATGTATTGGTCCATTGCTTGCGTTGTACATTATTAAACTGTCTATTTAAGTCAAAGTCGATCAAACATGTTTCATATGTACGATATATTGCAGTAAAAATTCATCGAGCAGCCCTGAATAGTTGCGGTGGCGAGATGTTAACTACCTCGCCTGGTATGCAGGAAATCGTGGGATTCGATCCTGACCCTGACACCTGCTGTATATTTTGAGTTTGTGTGTATCTCCACCCGTGGTGGCATGGAATTCTACCCGGGTCCTCCGGTTTTTCCCTCCACATTTAAAAACATGCTTTCTATATTACTTGGCTGCTGCAAATTTCCACATGATAAGCCACTTTGTGGCCGGGTCGCTTCTGACAAAAAGAGCGAATAGCTTAAGTGGGCTTTACCTGGTCAAATAAAACTTGTAGCTTAGTTTTTTGCTTGCTTACGCCACTGCTGACGAGTTCCCACGAGAGGGAGCTGTAGAAAGAGCTCGAGCCGTGTCCGTAACAAATGACATTCAGCTGCTGGAGCACGCATCTACAGTTGTTTCAAGCTAACATTATAATTATGCCCTAACTTGATAACGATACATCAAAGAACACAAAATTCACAACACCGGCTGTGGTCCTTTACTATGGAGTTGAGAACGGTTGTGTGGTGTGTCTGCGGGCTTAGTCGTGACCCAGTGTTCAATACACACACATGCACTCGCCTTTCATTGTACCTTTATAATTACAATAGATTCAACCAAGTGATGTAATGGGACAGTGGAGTCAACCTGTAGACCAGGGGTGGGGAACGTCCGGCCCGTGGGCCATACAAGGCCCGCGAAATCATTTGATCTGGCCCTGCCAAGGCAACCGCAAGCGGGATTCGAAATTCAATAAATCTAGGAGCAAACCTGGAAAAGCAGTTGCGAATAGCAACATCATCAATACCAGCTAACATCACACGCGCCTCGCCAAAGAGCAGCAGTTCCAGCCATCACATTAGGGGTGAGTTAATTAAATGTTTGACCAAATATAACATGCTAATTTTGAAGTTGATAATTTTGTATGTCCCACGAATGATGTTATAAATATCCAAATGGCCCTTGGCAGAAAAAAAGGTTCCCCGCCCCTGCTGGAGAGCGAGTGGTCTAGGGCCAGCGAGAAGGTTCGAGAATATGGGCGTGACCACGGGATAGGGGCGTTGCCACGCACCGTTTATAAAGGAAATGCGCGGGAGACTCGTGGCAGTTGCGATGGGGTCTTCGCCGGCTGGAGTGTGAGCACGTGGCTCATTAATAAAGAATTCCTTCCCAGGACGAGTGCGTCGAAGTCGTCTACCCACGTGACTTTACCGAAAGAACCAAAAGAGTATGGATTCCTGCAGTCACAAAAGCTTCAAATCATGATTGAGGTTCAGCCACAGCCGGTCTATCGCAAGGTTTCATCTGGTGGGGTGCATCACCGTGGGTACGCAACCCTCTTAACAACACTAAAACGAAACTTTTATTTTTAACCACGTAAAGACTCACTGAGCTGCATATCTCTTTTTCAGAAGCGACCTGGCTATCACAAATGATAGCTCAACGAAGTGGCGTATCACGTGGAAATGTATAGTGGGGAGAGACACGCAAACTCCAAATATACAGCAGGCGTCAGGGTCGGGATCGAACCCACGGGATCCTGTATACCAGGCGAGGTAGTTAACATCTCGCCACACGTCTGGTCAACGTAGAAGAGTTGATCAAATTCCCTCAGAGGTCACTGCAGTGGGAGGCCCTCTTCCATCGGCAATGCATGAGCAAGCATTGGCTGGGCACGTACCGTAACCCCTATTTTAGATTGACGAATATACGAGAGAATCAATGTTTTAAACTGCAGTGCAAAATCTGCTATTTGCAGTGTTACTTGGGACCCTGGGCGTTAACGTGGCCTATCGATAGCGCGATCGCTGCTTTTTTTGCAGAGGTTCATGGTTCGGCATCCAGCGGCCGCCCTGCTTATTGCTGCGGCGAGTCATAACCGTAATCATTGCACGCGCTGTTTGCTTCGTCATGAACGTTAGATCGCCCCACATTCACAAGAATAGGCCATCGTGTGTCGTTGTCAGGGTCCAGATATTGCAGCTTTCAAAATGACCCGCAAATGACTGAATTGAGGTTATACTGTACATGGAAATCCAATTTTACCCTGCTTGCAGACTAATGCCCCAGGTCACTCTTGCAAATGAGACTAACCCTGGCCTCTTGAGTTTCTCACCTTGTTAAACAACATGGATTTGAAACCGATTTACAATCAAGACGGTAGCTGCTCTTGGTAAAGTAGTTTTGTCAAAAATCTTAACACATCCGTCAATAACACTGTGGCCTTTAAATGAAAAAATATATATACACATATGTAATAAAGGACTTCGCCGACACACTGCTTGGTCTCCGTCTCTCTTTATTCCCGTTGACGCTCGCACTCCGCTGGTCCCGACAGCGGGACCGGCTGTTCCTCCCGCGCGCCCCGCACGCGCTCTCCCGTCAGTCGCACCGCTCCCCCGCTCCCGCACACACCGCTGGCCGACGGTGTGCTCGAAGCTCTTCCAGCCACGTGGCTGATGGCGCAGATCCCCTCCGGCCACCCAACGTGGTCCAGCTTCGTGACTCCACCAACTCCCCGGAGCCCTTCCGGGATCCCACCTATATCCCCTTCCCCACGTGATCCTGTCTCCTCCCTCTCACCACGCCCTTCACCGAACCTTCCAGATCCGGCCTCCGCATAGCGCCTTGCTGGCTCCGCCCTTAGGTTCCGCCCCTGCTCACCTCGCATCCGATTGGACCGGAGGTGAGCGGCGGACCTTCACATATGCCCCCATACTGGGCCCCGCCCCCAAATACCCTGGGCCGTATGATTGGCCCAGAGCCGAGCAGTGAAACCCCGCTTACGCTCGCATTACACATAACAGGCGACGTTTTGGTAATGGCACTTTTTTATTGCACGTAGAAATTAGTGACAAATATGTTGATTCTGCGTTGTTGTTTGTGCTTGTGCGCCACTGCCATCGCAGTATCAGAATCATATTTTTTATTTTTTCTGGAGAAATCCGATGAACTATGAAGCTCTTTTCACACATGTCTAGTAGGAGCGGGTCACAAAGTTACAACAATAAAATACCGGGATATTCATGAGTGTGCGGGTACCCCAGTAGAACCATTTTCTAAATAAAGCCCCTGTTAATTACACGACGACCATATTTAGTCAAATTACAGCTTGTCATTTAGATTGCTTTTTGATACTATTATAAAGATAAAAAGCTAAGCAAACTACACCGGGATTGCCTGGCGTTTGACGTGTTATCTACATCTGCAGAATGTGAAGAACCAGTGGCATCTACATCTGCAGAAGGTGAAGAACCAGTGGCATCTACATCTGCAGAACATGAAGAACCAGTGGCATCTACAACTGCAGAACATGAAGAACCAGTGGCATCTACACCTGCAGAACGTGAAGAACCAGTGGCATCTACATTTGCAGAACGTGAAGAACCAGTGGCATCTACACCTGCAGAACGTGAAGAACCAGTGGCATCTACATCCGCAGAACGTGAAGAACCAGTGGCATCTACATCTGCAGAACATGAAGAACCAGTGGCATCTACACCTGCAGAACGTGAAGAACCAGTGGCATCTACATCTGCAGAACGTGAAGAACCAGTGGTATCTACATCTACAGGAGATTATACAACTTTTAAAGCCATTCCCCGTGTTTAGTGTACAGGTCGTGCAACATGTTTGGAATAAAGTTACTTGTGAACAAGTCGACTTGCGAACACACCTCTGGAATCGAACTCGTTTGTAAGGAGAGTCCCTGTGTATATATATATATAACAGGCAACGTTTTGGGCAATGTACCTTCTTCAGCACATCACACTGTGAGGAAGGGTCATTGCCCACAACAATGTCGCCTCTTATATTTTCCCCTATTAGGGCAGTGTTTATTCGTTGTCTGTTTGTTTGTTGTTTTTTTGTCAAAGGTAGTGGATTGAACAAAAATAGCGAAACACGATTTGGTGCTTTAGCCGAGGTGCAAACAGGACGACGCTTGCACCGTCGTTGTAGAAACTCCACGTAGAGCCACCCCCACATCCGTCTGGCGTTCGCTGTTGATCACAGGGCGCTCTGATGGAGAACTTCAAATGTCTTCTTTTCTGGAGTAGTCCCATTTATGACTATTTGCGGTTTCTGAATAAAGACATGTGTGTGTGTGTTAATATGAAAACAGTAGATCAGATGACACAGTGAAGAGCCTAAATAAAAAACAGGGAACATCGTTTAATACTTAAGTTATTCAATTGAACCTTATGGCGGGACCCCGGGGTCCCATAAGCCCCCGGCTCTCGCATCAACTGCGTTGCGACGTCATTTTACGTCTGTTGAAGGCGAACGACGCGGTAATCTATTCCTCTCGACGAGCTCTACACGATGCGCTAATCAAAGTTTCAAAGTTTTGTTTCTTCTACGCATTCGTCATCGCCGCTGCGCTTGGACGACACGACAACAGAACGATCCGCGCTGGGCGGGTCGCAGCGTTGATGGTGGGACGGAGTCGACCAAAAATAATTTCACTAATTACGATTTTGACTTGCGTTTCTTCGAGACCCCAGGGTCCCGCCATAAGGTTCAATTACTGGATGAAGGCCTCCACGCGGTGTTGGTCATGTCCTGAATGCCCACGTAACACCTCGTCTCGACTATGGCAGTGTCCTGTACGTGGGTCTTCCACGGTGTGAAGAAGGTGGATTTACTTCACAGCGGCTTTTGGCTGGCCATCGAACAAAGATGTGCACCGCATCGCACGCTTTCAGGTGTGCTTCTGCGGCCGTCTGGAACACTCTTCTGATACTAGGAAGCCACTGCGAGCTATGAACTTTTAAATCTAGATTGAAAACGCTTTTCTTTAGAACTGATTTTTGCGTTTAGTTTGTGATCCTTCCCGCCCGCACCTACGATTAGCATGGCCGGGCTACGTACCATGTGCGAAATATGTTCAACGTACGGACGTACTCCAGGGCATTCAAAATGCCACCGCGGGACATTTGACTGACCGCTCGCTCTCGTCAGGGGACCCTGAATCTCCCCGACTTTACCGGACCTACACCGCTGCCTTCCAATTGGGCTCCGTGCTGCACGACTGCAAATTTACTGGGCTTAATTCAACCGTGCACTCCTTTCGGCAATCGCCACAATGTATTTGACCGATAAAACCGCGCAGCTTTGCGACCATTGACCCTTGCTCGAGGAGTTTGAGGTCCGACCGCACGCTCCTCCGTCAGCCCAACGCTCACGGAAACAAAACGTCTCGAAAGGTTTTGGCATTTTTTGCCGTCCGCGGTTCCCTCAGGATGGGGACGCTGCACCTCGAGAACTAGCCGAGATTCTCCCATTGAGAATTTTTTTTTTTAAATGCTCATTTACTTTAATGATACGTGAGATAAACTAGAGATTTTTTTAAAACTACATTTAACTTCTCTGAAGCTCTTCTGCCTTATAAAAAAACTATAAATAAATAAAATAAATAAACATGGGGCTGTTTGACCATACTTCACCACGCGGGTCCGGGGTGTGGGTTGATGAATGGTGACCCGATTTCACACATCCACACGTGCTGCACCGCCCAAAGCCCGTATTCATGTGTCCTGTGAAGCCACCGGCTGAGTGTGGCAAAAAGCCAGTGGAAAACCACCCGTGCCGTGCTGGCCCCATGCTGGCTCAGCTCGCCGCGGTGGCTAGGAGATGTTAACTACATGGAGTTTGCCTGTTCTCCCCATGGTCGCGTGGGTTTTTCTCAGGCGTTTCCCTCTACATTTTAAATAGACATGCGTTTAGAAACATGTGTTTAAGAGTATTTGGCTGCTATAAATGTCTACGTGATATGCCACTTAATTTGGCTATCGTTTGTGGCCAGGTGGTTTCTGAAACAGAGCTGTATAGCTCAGGTGAGCCTTATATGGCAACATTGAACATAGTTTTTAGTAGTTTTTACGATATGCAAGTGGAAAAATGGGTACTAGTTTTCCCAAGTTCCCACTTGTATGTATGTAGAGTATGTTGAACTTCTTTCGCACTCTACGCAGCCAACCAGACAAATTAAATCGCCGGGCGTGCCAAGCGTTTGTGACGCGCACAACGATTATCGTTTCGGCTCGCCGGCAAATCGAAGAACAAACCCTCACGACCACGCGTATCGGGGACCTGGCCCCGCGCGTCAATTCGACGTTGTAACGAGCGAGCGTGTGAAATCGCTTTACCTCCATGTCCACGCCCATCTTGTTTGCCGCCAGCCTGCGCAGGTCAGCCTTGATGAGTGCTTCGACATGCAAACAAGGGGACGAAGAGAGTATGGAAAGAATTATTCGATTGCTAAAAAAATATGTTAAAATATTGTGTGTAAAGGAGATGGAATCGAGCCGGCGACCTCTGGATTTGGAAGTCGCAGTGTGCCAGCCATCACACCACGGCAAGCTCCGAGGCATTTGAGCGCCCGAGACATTATTATTATTATTAGGAAGCCACTGGAGCTATGCACTTTCAAATCATCTAGATTTAAAACTAATTTATTTAGAACTGCATTATGTGTTTAGTTTGTTGTCCTTCCCCCGCACCAGCGATGAGCACGGTTGGCTACGTATGGTGTGAAAGAAGTTTAACATACATGCATACATAGGAATCCAAGCTCTAAAATTATATGAATAATGACAGTGGAGTGTTTTAAAAGAAGCAGGTGGTTAGCAATGCGTGCCTGCACTTAAACGATAAAACTACAACCTGTAAAACTATGAACTGTAAAACTATGAACTGTAAAACGATAAACTTGGAACATTTCTCACCTGTCAAGATGGTTCCAAGCAGCAGTGCCGAGCAGAGCAGCAGATTTCCAGCGCGGGGGTCAAAATTCGTGACGATGTTTCCCTGGGACAACGTGAGGGCGATTCCGCAAACCTGCGAGCGGAATCACGTGGTCACCGCTAACATTTGTCATCATCGTCGTCGTCATCATCGTCATCTGCGGACGTCGCGCGTACGATATTCGGAGAGCCAGCATCTTTATCTGCGAAGTTTGACCTCCACGAGCATCTCCGGAACGTACCACTCGCGAACAGCGAGTGACTACAGTGCATTTGTTTTTGTTTTTTCCTTGTAGAGCAGTGCAATTGATGATAGTGTTGAGTAGAAACATGCGTTGAGACTATTTCGATTATTTTTGTTGCTATAAAAGTTCAAATGACAAGCTACCTTTGTTGAGCTATAATTTACGGCCAGGTCACTTTTAAAAAATAAGTTAATAAACCTCGGTGGGTTGTGCCTGGTAGGATGGGGATGAATTTTTATTTAAAGCTTTCGTGACTGCAGGGATTTATATTCTTGGTTCTTTCGGTAAAGTCACGTAGAAGGGAAATTTAAAAATATAATAAAATATATATTTTTTTAAAATTCTCACGACGTTTCGACTGCAACACAAGCAATCATCATCAGGTGTGATTGCTTGTGTTGCAGTCGAAACGTCGTGAAAATATTTTTTGTTTTATATATTTCTTTTATTATTTCCCTTCTACGTGACTTTACTGAAAGAACCAAGAATCGGATGGGGGTGGATTAGTGATGTATTTGTTGGTGTTTGGGAGATTTTTGTACCTTTCTTGTACTTTGCACTGCTATCCTGCTTTTGTACTGTTTTAAAGTTCTGACCACGTGCCCCGACTGGACATCCATGAAAAAGAGCTTCATAGCTCATCGGATTCCTCCAGCACAAATAAATATTACTGGTAGGAACCTCCCGGTTACACCAGCCCACAGGGGATTATTGTGTCCGTCGTGCAGGGAGGGGCTGGGTGGGGAGCGAGGAGCTGGGTGGGGAGGGAGGGGCTGGGTGGGGAGGGGCTGAGTGGGGAGGGGAGGGTGGGGAGGGGCTGGGTGGGGAGGGTGGGGAGGGGCTGGGTGGGGAGAGTGGGGAGGGGCTGGGTGGGGAGGATGGGGCTGGGTGGGGGGTTGGGCTGGGTGGGGAGGGGCTGGTCACCCCGTGGTGCCCTTATAAAACTCGACATTTAACCTACTCAAGCCGGCTTGTGCCCGCCCTCACAGTCGGGCATATTTGCGGAATACACCACGCCGCCGTTGACCCTGGCCATTGACCGAGAAACCCAACGTTCCTACCAGCTCCCTCCGCAGGAATGTGTTCTGAATCTGATTAGTTCGACGGCTGTCGTGTCGCTGTTCCGCGGACACGTCGCCCCGTCTTGATGCGCAAACTCCTGCAGCAAACGGCCTATGGCGGTCGATATGTTCGAAGCGAGGACGGAGACCATCAAAGGAATGATGCCCCCCCCCCCCCCCCCCCCGTGACCCGTGCACCAAAACAAATCACTCGAGACGCCGGTACTGGGCGGCAGCCGAGAGCGGTCAACGCGAACGCCGTCGCAAGAGGTCAGGCGCAGCGTCGGGCGCGACGGTCCCTCCCGCCGGCTGGGCGCGTGACGTGTGACACGAGTGACGGCGCCGAGTTGACGTTAGAAAGAGTTGCACCTGGGCGAAGGCGTTGAGCAGGCCCGAAGACGTGCCCTCCGACTCGGGGTAGGTAATCTCAGCCGCGAACTCAAATCCCAGCGGCAGATATCCCGTCATAAAAAACCTGGACAGATTAGGGGCATTCCCACAATGACAAACATCAGCCCCCGTGTAGCCTCAACGAGACTGTTGGGGCGAGTGCCGTTTAGCGAGCACCTATGAAGGCCGGCACAGCGCACGAGGGTGTGGGTGGTTACCACCACCCCCAGCCGCCTTTGTCTCCCTAGTGGCGATGTTTACGCACCGGCCCAGGTACTCGTTGAAGGCTGAGTCGACCTAGGGAAGGCCCAGGACCCAGTTCAGATAATCGTCACCGGTGTTGGCCGTGAGCGGGAATCAAACTCGGGTCCCTGGGTCCGTAGCAGAACGTGATAACCGCTACACTACCACTCCACACACACACACACAGACACAAAAACACACACAGACATGCGCGCAGTCGATCGATGAGTCTGTGGCGTAACAATTTATACTGCTGGGTCGACGGGGAGGGTTGGCGGTCAAATTCAAGAAACGTGCCGAATGTTTTCGACTGCCGCACCTGGAGATGGAATGGAACTGGCGACCTCTGGATTGTCCACGGTGTGCGTCCGCTCCGTGTCTCTTAACAGTCGTAACGCCGCCGACGTCCTGGGTTCGAACCCAGGCAGCTGCCTGTGATTAAATTCGGTCCTCAGGTTGTGTGGAGTTGATGGTCTCAGCCAGGTCACGAATGACCGCACACGACAACGATTAAAAAAAAAAACTCCCCGCCATGTAAAATTTTGGTTCCGCACTTAGTTTGGCAAAATACAATTTCAGCTCTGAGAACATGCGACGAACATTACTCTCATATGGAGAGTCGGGGTCGGGGGGGGGGGAATACTGCCCTCTACTATGTGCGTTCATGGGCCAGAGTTCACTGTGAAGGGATCTATCAGAGGTAGTTCTGTTTAACACTTTGGCTATTGTGGAGAGGTAGTTCTACGATGTCCGCTTCAGCGGGCCGTTCTCCAAGACGGAGGGGAAAGCTCCGTCTCGCTGACTTTGAGGCGAGGTGGCGCAAATCGGGATGAACGCTGCTGGATGGGAGACGACGCAAACAACTTAAATGATTCAAGAAAAAATAAAAGAGGTTGAGAACTCACCCAAGCAGCCCCGCGGTGAGATAGACGACCCAGAGTTTCCCCAGCATCAGCGTGAATGTGAAGATGATCATCCCCGCAAGGGAGAGCGCGTACACGGCTAGCGTTGTCTGCCTGTCCACGCAGACACGACGGCCAACAACAACAACAACAAACACGTCCGGCGAGCTTACAACTAAACACGAAACTATTTTTTATTATTTTACCACTTAAGGCCCACTGAGCTATACTCTTAGTTCTTTCTTTAAAGTCACGTAGGTAAAAAATGAAATTAAAATTAATAAAAATAAAACAATAAAATCACGACGTTTCGGAGGCAACACAAGTCACTTGATACAGCAAATCTGGCTGTGACGGTCCCACCTGATGACGGAGACTTGTGTTGCCTCCGAAACGTCGTGAATTTTATTATTTATTTTTATTAATTTTTATTTTATTTTTTACCTACGTGACTTTACCGAAAAAACCTAAGAGTATGGGGGAGATTTGTGTTTGTCGGCTTATCCGTTCAGTTATTTGAGTTCTCCACAACGGCGCTTTTGATTAAACACATTGGAGAGAGAGAGAGAGGAATGAAATGGCACCATCGAGCATATTAAAAAACTGAACGTCGCGCAGAGCAAAGCTGGCCTCGTTAGCTTCGGCGCAGAAACGAGTATGAATCCTTGCAGTCACGAAAGCTTCAAATCTAGAACCCACTGAGCTATATTATCTATTTTTTCAGAGGCAACCTGGCTATCACAAATGATTGTTCGGCAAAGTGACTTATCGCGTGGAAGTTTATAGCAGTAGGCCAAATACTGCGAGCGCGTGATGTTCATTCTAAATGTGGAGGGAAAACCCGGAGGACCCGGAGAAGAACCGACGCGACCACGGGGAGAGAGAAATTCAAACTCCAAATATACAGCAGGCGTTACGATAGGGATGGAACCCACGACCTCCCGTATACCAGGCGAGGTAGTTAACATCTTGCCACCGTGGGTTATGAAATAACGACACCAGACGAATCTCGGTTAACCTACCACGTCGATGCCAAACAGTAACCACGGCCATGTAACACACCAACGTAACGCAACTTCCTTGACATCTCCCCTTATCAAATTCAACAACAACAACAGCAGCAGCAGCAACAACAGCAAAATAACAATTTGAATTCGAATGCAACCAACAGTTCAAACAGCCACCGAGCAACGGTTCGAGAAGCACATCAGCTTTTGGGAACAGTCGCATTCAGGCAAATCGTCGCAAATTCAAGCGACAGTTTACAGAGTCACCAAAGCAAGTGCACGTACTTGAACGTCTTGGTATAATCCAGCCAAATCCCACACAGCAGCGAGCCCAGCATCCCGGCCAGCACCAGGGTGAGGCCGATGCGGCCGGCGTGTATCTCCTCGCCCTGCGTTCGCGCACACAAAGACAAAGAGACGAATATCTCCCCCCGCCGCCGCCGCCCCCCACACCACCCGTACAGCCTGAACAGACCGCAAGGAGCAAGTGCTGTCAGCGAGTAGCACCGACGAACAGCTCTGGCTGTCGCCTGATGATGCCGGTTGTAATTACCGGGGGAAACGTCACGGAACTTGAACGGCAAATGTTGTGGGTTTACTCTCCAACACACCGCCGGTGTGCTGGACTAGTAACCAATTGGAATGTTTTGATCACGTGACAAACCTTACTAATTGGCTGTGTCGGGTGGTGGCGGGCTTAACGGCACATTTATGTTTACGAGATCTAACCCACAAACCTCTATTATGGAGAGCATCCATGAGGGGGTTTGTGGCCATCCACCACGCCCGGCCACCTTTGTTTCCCTAGTGGCAATGTATCTATGTTGACCTTTCGCACCGTACGTAGCCAACTGGGTTAATCGGAGGTGCGGAGGTAGGATAAGAAACTAAACACAAAAAGCAGCTCTAAAGAAATTAGTTTTCAATCCATTATAGTGGTGTAGTATATAGTGTAGAGTAGTGTATAGTTTAGTGTATAGTATAGTGTGCATTAGTATAGTGTAGAGTGATGTATATTGAACTTCTTTCGCACCATGTTAATCGGAGGTGCGGGGGTGGGACAACAAACTAAACACAAAAAGCAATTTTAAATAAAGAAGTTTTTCATCTAGATGATTTAAAAGTGCATAGCTCCAGTGGCTTCCTAATATTGGAAGAAAGAGCCTTCCAGATGGCCGCAGGAGCGGTGTTTAAACACCGCCCCGGGTACTCGTTGGAGGCGACCTAGGGAAGGCCCAAGACTGGTTCAGATAATCGTCACTGGTGTTGGTGCCCATGGGTGGGAATCGATCTCGGGTTACCGAGTTCGTAGTTGGCCCATGGTTGGCCCAACGTTGACCCAACGTTGACCCGTGGTTGGCCCGACGCTGATACAACGTTGGCCCCAACGTTCCACGTCCGCTGGGCATTTCACGTTTCTGCGCCGAAGCTAACGAGGCCAGCTTTGCTCTGCGCGACGTCCAGTTTTTTAATATGCTCGGTGGTGCCATTTCATTCCTCTCTCTCTCTCCAATGTGTTTAATCAAAAGCGCCGTTGTGGAGAACTCAAATAACTGAACGGATAAGCCGACAAACACAAATCTCCCCCATACTCTTAGGTTTTTTCGGTAAAGTCACGTAGGTTAAGAATTTAAATTAATAAAAGTAAAATAAAACAAATTAAAAAATTCACGACGTTTCGGAAGCAACACAAGCCTCCGTCTTCAGGTGGAACCGTCACAGCCACGACAGCTGTATCAAGCAAATGAGAGATCACAAGAAATACTACCCCGTATATATAATGGTTGAGGGGAGAAGGGCCAGGAACGGCACACTTTTTTTATTAATATGGTAAGGTGAGGCTTAAGACCAAGAGTAGACTGCATAACAAAGGACTGAGCCTTTGTTATGGAGAGGTGCGGTTTGTAACATGGCATACATAACAAAAGTGTGAAAAAAGAAAAGCAATTTAAAAAAATCTCCCCCAGGGCCCCTATGTAAAAACGTCTGGCAGGTCACCGGCGTCGATTCAAGCAACCGGTCCCGAGTTTTGCCTCGGGATCAATGAATGCTGCCGTAGTTATGGCCCTGCCACGCAGGGGGCATCCGTGGGGGGTCCGATGGTTTTTGTGTCAAAATAAAAAAAAATAAAAAAAATTTGTGTGAATAGACACAGACGGATGGGGAAGGCATGTTGACTACTCATTCATTTCATTCGTCACGCACACTCAGCGGAAGGACCATGTGCGTGCGTGCGTGTGTAGCGGTTAGCGCTACGCTGCGCTACGAACCTGGCCACCCGGGTTCGATTCCCGCTCATGGCCAACACCAGTGACGATTATCTGAACCGGTCCTGGGCCTCCCCTAGGTCGACTCAGCCTTAAATGAGTACCTGGTGCGGTGTGTAAACATTGCCACTGGGGAGACAAAGGCGGTCGGGCGTGGTGCTGGCCACCCACCCCCCTCGTGTACCGTTCCGGCCTTCATAGGTGCTCGTGTGCGTGTGTGTGCTACGAACCCGGAATCCCGATTTCGATTCCCTCTCACGGCCAACACCGTTGACGAATATCTGAACCGGTACTGGGCTTCAAATGAGTACCTGGTGTGTGTAAGTATCGCCACTGGGGAGACAAAGGCGGTCGGGCGTGGTTATTGGCCATCCACCCCTTGGTGTGCCGTGCCGGCCTTCATAGGTGCTGCTCGCTAACAGCACTTGCCCCGACAGTCTGTTAGAGGCCACATGGGGGATCTTTGTCTTTGCGCGCGCGTGCGCGTGTGTGTGTGTGCGTGTGTGTGTGCGCGTGTGTGCGTGTGTGTGTGTGTGCGCGTGTGTGTGTGCGTGTACGTGTGTGTGTGTGTGCGTGTGTGTGTGCGCGTGTGTGTGCGCGTGTGTGTGCGTGTGTGTGCGCGTGTGTGTGTGCGCGTGTGCGTGTGTGTGTGCGTGTGTGCGCGTGTGTGTGTGGGTGCGTGTGTGCGTGTGTGTGTGTGCGTGTGTGTGTGCGTGTGTGTGTGCGTGTGTGTGCGCGCGTGTGTGTGTGCGTGTGTGTGTGCGCGTGTGTGTGTGCGTGTGTGTATGTGCGTGTGTGTGTGCGTGCGTGTGTGTGTGCGTGTGTGTGTGTGCGTGTGTGTGTGCGTGCGTGTGTGTGCGTGTGTGTGTGTGCGTGTGGTGTGTGCGTGTGGTGTGCGGTTGTGTGTGTGTGCGTGTGTGTGCGTGTGTGTGTGCGTGTGTGTGCGCGTGTGTGTGTGCGTGTGTGTGTGCGTGTGTGTGCGTGCGTGTGTGTGTGTGCGTGTGTCTGCTTGCTTGCGTGTGGCTGGAATCAGTTCGGCGAGCATCGTGCGATGTGGGTCGCTGCTCACCGGGTAGTGGTAGACCACCATCTGGTTGAGTAGGGTCGACACTGAGTAATAGCAACCGGTGTTAATGCCTAGTAGCACGTAGACATCCGTGCAAGCGCGCGCACACAGAGACACACAGAGACACACGGGGGGCATGCGAACACAGAGGCAGGCGTTAGTGACCGGGCGCGCTCACACTTCGTGGGATCAGTCGAGCAACTTGATTGCATTTGAACGATTCGCTCACGTGGCGGGTCCGCGAGCTGTCGCGCAAATCGTCTGCTTGCAGCAGCAGCGGCAGCGGCAGAGGCAGCCTCAACTTGGGAGCGATCTGCCCGGCGGAGTTGTAGCTACAACGCTTTGCCGCTACTTGCCACTGGGGTGTTGGTGGCCGTGAGTCGGGATCGAACTCGGGCGGTCACACACGGACAAAGATCCCCCGTGTAGCCTTAACAGACTGTTGGGGCAAGTGCTGTTGGCGAGCGTCTGTGAAGGGCTGGCACGGCACACGAGGGGGTGGGTGACCAGCACCACGCCCGGCTGCCTTTGTCTCCCTAGTGGCGATGTTTATTACACACCACTGCACCAGGTACTCATTTGAGGCTGAGTCGACCTAAGGGGGAGGCCCAGGACCGGTTTCCAGACAATCGCCACTGATGTTGGCCGTGAGCGGGAATCGAACTCGGGTCGCCGGGTTCGTAGCGCATCGCCAAGCTAACCACTGGAATGCCCCTCCAAATACAAAGACACGCACACACGCACACACGCGCACATGCGTGCGCGCAGATGATGATTTCAAAAAGCGTCCACTTAAGCAGCTCACCTTTGCTTACTTTGCCTTTTAAAAGCATCTCTTTATGTGAATACACAATTCCTTGCACGAGACAGTATTCCCGAAATACCCGATCTTCGTTGTTGTTCGCATTAGTCTTTGCTGTCTTCAGTCGGGTGGACCGAAGGGCGATTAACGTGACGCGCAAACGTAACACGTACAGCGGATTTGTAATCCGACGGTCTGATTCACGAGAATAGGTTTTCCCCTTTTTTCTGGCAACAAAACAGCTGTGTTAAGATCATCTTGGTTCTTTCGGTACAGTCACGTAGAAGGGAGATAATAAAATAATAAAAATAAAACATAATAAAATTATATATTTTTTTTATTATCTCCCTTCTACGTGACTTTACCGAAAGAACCAAGAAGATGAATCCCTGCAGTCACGAAAGCTTTAAATCGAAGGTGTTAAGATGTTAAAACACCAAACTGAAACCTTTTTCAAGGAATCATGTCTGCATTAACTACAATACTTGTGGTCAAAATGCAAACAAAAAACGTACTCTGATAATAAATGCATTGTCTTTTAAACTGATTGGTCCACACCAGAGAGCTTTCTTTTGAGCCTAGTCTCAAACGGTGTTAGACCAGAGGACGCCAAAAGGCGTACAGCACAAAGACAATGCACCATCAAAGTAATGAGGGCTTGGGGTAAGCAGCTACATCATGGGACCTCCTTTGCCAAAATATGAAAATAGGTTTTCCCCTTTAAAACATATTGTCATATTTTGGTACTGACAAAGGAGGTCCCCATGATGGTCTGATTCACCATTAGCTTTGCGATCACAGCAGAATAAACCTACGTGTTCCCCGCGCCGAACGACTCGTAATTAAAAACCATCACGGTGAGGTCCCTGACGCCAGGGCTAACGTAGTTACACAGCGAAGTTTCACGCTGCCCTGCCAACAGGCTGAGGCATTGCCATCAGGCCCTTGAGCCTGCATTCTCTCTTAAACATGCACTTCAATTCACGCACCACCGCCAATGCTGATAAACGCCCGGGCCTGTGACACGCAACACAACCCAGAACACTATTGCAAGCTCACCGAGACCTTGAAAACGATGAAGGGTTGGTTGAGTGCCAAGGAAAACTCTCGGATGGGTGCCCGCAATGCGCACGCAGAAAGAAAAGCTCAGCGGTAGAATTGAAAAATGTATAACGCGCACAGATCTCGTTAGACTCAGAGGCACGGGAACTACAGACGAGGGCGAAAGGCAGCCACAACCGGCGGCTAAGCAACAATTGCCCAAGCTCTGGGGCCCTATATTGGGATGTTTGGCCAACTCCATTAATGAGCGACAATCCACGTGGGAGAAAAACGGAGTACTCGTTGATTCTAACCTTAATTTTTTTTTAAAGAACTCCAATATATATTCTCTGGTAGGTATTCATAAAATATAAATTTGCAGAGTCTCAAAGGGGTGAGGTGGTGGAGTGGGGGGCAATTGAATCGGAAGCTTATAGATTAGGGGTTCAGCAACCAACATAACGAGAGGAGGCATTTTGGTTCGAATTCGGTAAAGTAAAAAAAGAAACAACTCAATATTTCAAGAGCCCCAATGCATCTTCTTGGTTCTTTCGGTAAAGTCACGTAGAAGGGAAATAATAAAATAATAATAATTAAACATAATAAAAGAATATAATAGAATAATAGAATAAGATTATTTTTAATATTTTATTATCTCCCTTCTACGTGACTTTACCGAAAGAACCAAGAAGATGAATCCCTGCAGTCACGAAAGCTTTAAATCGAAAGCCCCAATGCACTGCGGTGAATACGAGACGGCGAGTCGCGAACAACGAGCGGCCAAGAAGCAGTCGCTGAAGGAGCCGCCACGCGTCTCACCCCCCCCCCGCCCCCCCCGTTCTAGATCATCGGCGACCAGTGTGCGACAGCCATTCTGACCCATCGCAACGGGAGGCCCCCCAAAGCGCCTCTCTCGGAGGACGATCGTCAGCGTGCGGCGCGAACGATCCGTCTCGGCGGGAGGTACCGTAGGTGACGACGAGCAGGACGAAGGGACGGTCCTTGAGGAGGCGCACGATGGAGTGGTGGAAGGGGGTGCCCTCGCCCTCGCCCTCGCAGTCGCGCCGCGTCGCTTGCGAGTTGCTGGGGGGCAGCGCCGGCTCCTCGCGGAACACTGCGGGGGGGGGGGGGGGGGGCGGGAAAGTGGTAGTTCCGTACGCGAGAGTTTCCGGCGACGGTGTCGTCGTCGTTCCGTCGGCGACAAAAAAAAAACGAAACGCAAGCGAGATCGAACGGACGGAATAAGCAATTGGCCTTGTCCCGGTAAGGGGTGCCAGCTGTGGAGAGATGTTAACTACCTCGCCTGGTATGCAGGAGGTCGTGGATTCGATGTTGAGATGTTGACTACCTCGCCTGACATGCAGGAGGTCGTGGGTTCGATGTTGAGATGTTAACTACCTCGCCTGGTATGCAGGAGGTCGTGGGTTCGATGTTGAGATGTTAACTACCTCGCCTGGTTTGCAGGAGGTCGTGGATTCGATGTTGAGATGTTGACTACCTCGCCTGGTATGCAGGAGTTGAGATGTTAACTACCTCGCCTGGTATGCAGGAGGTCGTGGGTTCGATGTTGAGATGTTAACTACCTCGCCTGGTATGCAGGAGGTCGTAGGTTCGATGTTGATATGTTGACTACCTCGCCTGGTATGCAGGAGGTCGTGGGTTCGATGTTGAGATGTTAACTACCTCGCCTGGTATGCAGGAGGTCGTGGGTTCGATGTTGAGATGTTAACTACCTCGCCTGGTATGCAGGAGATCGTGGGTTCGATGTTGAGATGTTCACTACCTTGCCTGGTATGCAGGAGTTGAGATGTTAACTACCTCGCCTGGTATGCAGGAGGTCGTGGGTTCGATGTTGAGATGTTCACTACCTTGCCTGGTATGCAGGAGTTGAGATGTTAACTACCTCGCCTGGTATGCAGGAAGTCGTGGATTCGATGTTGAGATGTTAACTACCTCGCCTGGTATGCAGGAGGTCGTGGGCTCAATCTCGACCCTGACGCCTGCTGTTAAGTTAATGCGGCCTGTTGTGTATTCTAGGATTTCAAATCATGGTTGGAGAACGACTCAGCCCTTTATCCCTCCGGGGTCAATAAAACGAGTAGCATTTTGTGGAGAATTCATACAACGGGTGTCTACTACTACATCTACTACTACATCATCTACTACTACTGTACTACATCATCTACTACTACTGCCGTGTAAAGCGAGGGACACCACTTTCCCGTCACACTGTAAATCCACATCCTGACAATGTATGTTGTATGTATGTTGTATGTATGTTGCATGTATGTATGTTGAACTTCGTTTGCATCATAAGTAGCCAACCATGCTCATTATTGCTCGACTCAGCGGATTATTCACGTGGAAATGTATAGCAGCCAAATACTGTGTGATGTTGATTCTATATGTGACGGGAAAACCCGGAGGACCCGGAGAAAAATCCACGCCACCACGGGGAGAGAGACACGCAAACTCCAAATATACAGCAGCAGGCGACGGTGTCAGGATCGAACCCACGACCTTCTCTATACCAGGCGAGGTAGTTAACATCTCCTAGCCACCGTGATGATGATGAAAGAGAGAGACACGCAAACTGCAAATATACAGCAGGCGACGGTGTCAGGATAGAACCCACAACCTCCTGTATACCAGGTGAGGTAGTTAACATCTCCTAGCCACCGTGATGATGATGAAAGAGAGAGACACGCAAACTCCAAATATACAGCAGGCGACGGTGTCAGGATCGAACCCACGCCCTTCTGTAGACCAGGCGAGGTAGTTAACATCTCCTAGCCACCGTGATGATGATGAAAGAGAGAGCCACGCAAACTCCAAATAAACAGCAGCAGGCGTCAGGGTCGGGATCGAACCCACGACCTCCTGTATACCAGGCGAGGTGGTAAACGTCTCCACCGCAGTTCACGCCCAGCGTCCGCCCTGGTAAATCCCGAGGGTATATGAAGCACGATGATGAAAATGACGACGACGACGACGACAAGAGATGACGATGTCTCACCGACGAGGACGAGCAGGAAGAGCGCGGTGGAGATGGCGGCGGTGCCGTAGAAGAGGATGGAGATGCCCTTCCCCAGCGCCTCCGTGTCCCCCGTGCTGGACACCAGCAGAGGAGGCACCACGAAGCCGAGCGCCACTCCCAGCTGGGAGATGATGGGGGGGGGGGTGACATCGGTCAGAAGCGGCGTTCAATTAGTCAGCCATTCGAGCAGATTTGGTCCAGTCAGTCGACGACAGTCCCCTCCTCCTCCTCCCCCCCTCTCCTCCTCCCCCCCCCCCTCCTCCTCCTCCCCCCCCCCTCCTCCTCCTCCCCCCCCCCTCCTCCTCCTCTCCCCCTCCTCCTCCTCCCCTCCTCCTCCTCCTCCCCCCCCTCCTCCCCCCCCCCTCCTCCTTCCCCCCCTCCCCCTCCCCCCCTCCTCCTCCTCCCCCCTCCTCCTCCCCCCCCTCCTCCTCCTCCCCCCCCCTCCTCCTCCCCCCCCACCTCCTCCTACCTCCTCTTCCCTCCTCCTCCCCCCCCCTCCTCCTCTTCCCCCCTCCTCTTCCTCCTTCCCTCCTCCTCTCCCCCCCCTCCTCCTTCCCCCCTCATCCTCCCACCTCGTTCATAAGCGACCCCCCCCCCAATTAAATGTCCTTCCTGAGACACCCCTTGGACCTGAGGCCAGAGGTCACGTGAAGTGACCTGAAGCCAGAGGTCACGTGAAGTGACCTGAGGCCAGAGGTCACATGAAGTGACCTGAAGCCAGAGGTCACGTGAAGTGACCTGATGCCAGAGGTCACGTGAAGTGCCCTGAGGCCAGAGGTCACGTGAAAGGCAGCAGCCCACTTATTGTTCCCTGGCTCACCCCACCACCCCTTCATCTCATATCCTCACGATTCGTCTCTCACTCATCAACCCCCTTCATTCAATCCATTCATCATCATCATTTACCGTCATCAATTTCGCTTTTCACCGAATTCACGCGTCACAGATTCGCCCCCATTGCTTCATCCCATCGCATCTCCGCCATTACATCCACACGCTGCACCGTAGTTAATTCTTTTTAAAGCGCTCTGGATAAGGCGCTAATATAAATTCCTTCGAGGTTAAGATATCCGCCTCCCTGGGGCGCTCTCTAACACGCAAAGGACTCGCAAATCGCCGCCACGTGACAGGTTAGAAAGGGATCTTCGTACCGTGGACTCGACGCCAACAGCAACATTTGGGATACAATCGATCGGGGCTGGAAGGACAATCATCATCATCAGCAGCAGCAGCCACGATCTATCCACTGCTAGAGCAGGCCATCAAACCATCTCTCGGTGGGGGGGGGGGGGGGTGTGATCCTGCCACGCAAAACAATTCAGCCAGTACCCGCACGCCAGCCGATTCCATCGCTCCGTCTCCACGGAGTTGAATTCCCATTCGTTCCTCGGTCACTACTACCGACCACGTGGCATTGCCTCCTCCATCCACGTCTCCTGCCAGAGGCACACAGTGCTTCTCTGAGGGCTCAACGCCAGCTACAATGAGTGAAGTTCCCGCAACACAGTGGACAATGATAACATGACCTTTCACCCCCTTCCACGTGGTTAGGTGTAGCCTGTCTGTTTAGCAGAGGTGGGACAAAGTCATTGTTATGCAAGTCCAAGTCGAGTCTGAAGTCATCAAATTCATGACTCGAGTCTGACTCGAGTCCAAGTCACATGACTCGAGTCCACACCTCAGAGGTGGGACAAAGTCATTGTTATGCAAGTCCAAGTCGAGTCTGAAGTCATCAAATTCATGACTCGAGTCTGACTCGAGTCCAAGTCACATGACTCGAGTCCACACCTCTGCTGTTTAGTGCTAACCCAGGACTGCGTAAAAACGTATTTTGCAACCGAAGTAAAATCCCAACAAGGCATCGTCATAACGTTAGACGACTGGTGGTTGTTCTCTCTGTGGTTTCCCCCTGGGCAGGAAATCCTTTGGCTTCCTCTTAGCCCCAGTCAAATCGCGTGACAAAATCCGCATCAGCTGATCGTACGATCGAGCCAAAACGATCGGGCCAAACTCATAACTGTAACTAGCGCATCTTTCAATTTCGATTTAAAGCTTTCGTGACTGCGGGGATTCATCTTCTTTTTGGTTCTTTCGGTAAAGTCTTTACCGAAAGAACCAAGAAGATAGCGCATCTTTACTCAATCGGTTGTTAACAGATGTTTAGAACTTTGCTTAGCCATCATACGAGCACGGATAATGAATCTGATAATTTGCACTATTACTACTGTTCTTTATGTTACCAGGTAAGGCTCACCGAGCTGTATAGCTTATCACATACAACATACATACAACATACATTGTCAGGATGTGGATTTACAGTGTGACGGGAAAGTGGTGTCCCTCGCTTTACACGGCAGTAGTAGTAGATGATGTAGTACAGTAGTAGTAGATGATGTAGTAGTAGATGTAGTAGTAGACACCCGTTGTATGAATTCTCCACAAAATGCTACTCGTTTTATTGACCCCGGAGGGATAAAGGGCTGAGTCGTTCTCCAACCATGATTTGAAATCCTAGAATACACAACAGGCCGCATTAAATTTCGATTTAAAGCTTTCGTGATTGCAGGGATTCATCTTCTTGGTTCTTTCGGTAAAGTCACGTAGAAGGGAAGTAACAAAATAATAAAAATAAAACATAATAAAATAAAATAATTCTCACGACGTTTCGGCTACAACGCAAGCAGCTGTCTTCAGGTGAAGAATGAGACACTACCAAGCTAGGAGCTTATATATAAACGCGTGATGCTTATTCTAAATGTCGAGGGGAAAACCAGAAAGACCCGAAGAAAAATCCGCACGACTGCGGGGAGAGAGAGACACGCAAACTCCAAATATACAGCAGCAGACGTCAGAGTCGCGATCAAACCCACGACCTCCTGTGCACCAGGCGAGGTAGTTAGTCCATAACAGGTTTTTTTGGGTTAGATCGCGTAAATATTTAAATGTGTCGTTAAACCCGCCACCACCCGACACAGCCAACTTGTAAGGGTTGTCACGTAAACAGAACGTGGCCAATTCGTCACTAGTACAGCACACCGGCGTGTTGGAGAGCCAAGCCATAACATTTACAATCTGAGTACGACGTTTCGCCAGTAATTACAACTAGCTTCATCAGGCGACAGCCAGATTTGTGGAGAAGTCCTCCTGTTTCGTTCATTATGTAGGGATGTATATGGAGTCGCGGTAGTGTAGTGCCAGTATCGAGAAAAGAGTGGACTGCGTGTCTTAAGTCTCTCTCTCTGACGCCAGAGTGAGTATGGTATGGAAATTCTAGATTTGAAGCTTTTGTGACTGCAAGGATTGATACTCTTAGTTTTTTCGGTAAAGTCACGTAGGTAAAAAATGAAATTAAAATTAATAAAAATAAAATAATAAAAATCACGACGTTTCGGAGGCAACACAAGTCTCCGTCATCAGGTGGGACCGACACAGCCATATTTGCTGTATCACTTGATACAGCAAAATAAAATAATAAAAATCACGACGTTTCGGAGGCAACACAAGTCACTTGATACAGCAAATCTGGCTGTGACGGTCCCACCTGATGACGGAGACTTGTGTTGCCTCCGAAACGTCGTGATTTTTATTATTTTATTTTTATTAATTTTTTTTTCATTTTTTACCTACGTGACTTTACCGAAAAACTAAGAATATGGCATGGAAAGTCTCTCTAGGGGGCATAGCCCTGGTGACGGTGGGAGAGAGCTCGGGCGATGACGTGGTCCTCTGAGTGAACCCCAGAGGGCACGTGACCACGCGTGTTTTTTCTGCAATATTTTGCTGTCTTTTCTTGGATTTTCTGTTTGCACTTAGTCACATATTCACTTTAAGATGTTTTTTGTTCATTTTTTTGTTTGTTGCGGTTGCACCCGATTCAAGAGCCGAATGGCTCACAAGGCTAGACAGTACCTAATAAATGAACTTGAACTTGAGGTGGCAAGGGGGGTCCAGAAGGGGTGAGAGGGACACGTGATGTAGGGGTCAGAGTCTTCGAGAAGGATCTGAAAGGGGGCGTGGAAGGGCGCGTGGCCTGACCCAAAGAAGATGAATTACTTAAGTCGACAATGGCAACGGAGTTTCTATCCTTGAGGTCTTTTGGTAAAGTGTTTCCTTTGAGCCATCTACGTGACTTTATCGAAAGACCCAAATAATATAAACTCAGTCGTCATTGTCGAGTCTTTGTGTCAATCACAACGCGTGCACGTGGGTTGTTTGACCATAGTTCACCGGGCAGGTCAGTGGGGGTCGGTGATTTCGGCCTCAAATCAGTACCTGGTGCGGTGTGTAAACATCGCCACTGGGGAGATAAAGGTGGCTGGGCGTGGTGCTGGCCACCCACCCCCTCGTGTGCCGTGCCGGCCTTCATAGGTGCTCGCTAACAGCACTTGCCCCTACCGTATGTTAAGGCTATACGGGGGATTAGCTGTTGTGGTTATCCACGGTGTGGTGGTTGTACACGTATGTTGAACTTCTTTCGCACCGTACGTAGCCAACCGTGCTAATCGGAGGTATCTCACCTCGGTCATCTCAACCATAAATGAGTAACCTCGGTGCGACGTGTAACCATCGGCACTGGGGAGACAAAGGTGGCCGGGCGAGGTGCCGCTGTAGCCACCCCCCCCACCCGCTCCTGCACTGCCCTTCATGGGCGAATCCGCTGCTCGCTAACGGCACTTGCCCCGGCAGTCTGTTGAGCCTGTACGAGGGGTGGGGAATCTTTGTCTTTGTCAGTTCCACGACGGGTTACTACCACCACCGTCCCATCCCGCGATTCGCACGGTTGGCTACGTACGGTGTGAAAGAAGTGCCACACACATAGGGCACCGTACACGCAAGTGTAGGTTGTCTGCGTGTTGTTGTTTTTTTATTCCCAAAGGACGTTTTTTTTGCGAATGGGGATGCCAGGGAACGGACGTCGCTTTTAACAAAGTCCCCGCGTGAAACGGAACTTTAAAAAAGGCTCACTCCCCACGACATAGACATCGTTGTAGAGATCCCTAACACGGATTTTTTTCCATAATTTTTTTTCTTTTTGGTGGGGGAACAATAACATGTGTCGTTAAACCCGCCGCCACCCGACACGGCCAAACCCGGTAAGGTTTGTCGCGTAAACCAAACGCGACCGATATTATTTTAGAGACTGCAAATGACACGTGTGTTGGATTAAGTCATTATCTGTACGGCCACGTTAGGGGGGATTGCCCCCCCCCCGCTCCGCGTTAACGATCAACTTGTAGGTTCGCCGAGTAAACTCTTCAGCAAACTTTGTTGAACGAGGGGGAGGGGGGCAGATACCGTCAATGCGAACAAACTTTGTGGTTTGAAAGTTGATTAGTTTAATCGGGTGAGAGAGATAATATAGAACACTCAAGAGATGGATGGGGGGTGGGGTGGTGAGTGGTGGGGTGGTGGTGAGTGGGGGAGTGGTGGTGAGTGGGGGAGTGGTGGTGGGTGGGGGAGTGGTGGTGAGTGGGGGAGTGGTGGTGGGTGGGGGAGTGGTGGTGAGTGGGGGAGTGGTGGTGAGTGGGGGGAGTGGTGGTGGGTGGGGGAGTGGTGGTGGGTGGGGGAGTGGTGGTGAGTGGGGGAGTGGTGGTGAGTGGGGGAGTGGTGGTGAGTGGGGGAGTGGTGGTGAGTGGGGGGAGTGGTGGTGGGTGGGGGAGTGGTGGTGGGTGGGGGGAGTGGTGGTGAGTGGTGGTGAGTGGGGGGGGGTGGTGGTGAGTGGTGGGTGGTGGTGAGTGGTGGTGAGTGGTGGTGAGTGGGGGGAGTGGTGGTGAGTGGTGGTGAGTGGGGGGGGTGGTGGTGAGTGGGGGGGGTGGTGGTGAGTGGGGGGGTGGTGGTGAGTGAAGTGATGGTGAGTGGGGGGAGTGGTGGTGAGTGGGGGAGTGGTGGTGAGTGGGGGGGGGGGTGGTGAGTGGGGGGGGTGGTGGTGAGTGAAGTGATGGTGAGTGGGGGGAGTGGTGGTGAGTGGGGGGGGGGGGTGGTGGTGAGTGGGGGAGTGGTGGTGAGTGGGGGGGGGTGGTGGTGAGTGGTGATGAGTGGGGGGGGTGGTGGTGAGTGGGGAAGTGGTGGTGAGTGGGGGGACGGTGGTGAGTGGGGGGACGGTGGTGAGTGGGGGGGGTGGTGGTGAGTGGGGGAGTGGTGGTGAGTGGGGGGAGTGGTGGTGAGTGGGGGGAGTGGTGGTGAGTGGGGGGAGTGGTGGTGAGTGGGGGAGTGGTGGTGGGGGGGGGTACGGTGGTGAGTGGGGGGAGTGGTGGTGAGTGGGGGGGGTGGTGGTGAGTGGGGGAGTGGTGGTGAGTGGGGGTACGGTGGTGAGTGGGGGGAGTGGTGGTGAGTGGGGGGAGTGGTGGTGAGTGGGGGGAGTGGTGGTGAGTGGGGGGAGTGGTGGTGAGTGGGGGGAGTGGTGGTGAGTGATGGTGAGTGGTGGTGAGTGGGGGAGTGGTGGTGAGTGGGGGGAGTGGTGGTGAGTGGGGGAGTGGTGGTGAGTGGTGGTGAGTGGTGGTGAGTGGGGGAGTGGTGGTGAGTGGGGAGAATGGTGGTGAGTGGGGGGAGTGGTGGTGAGTGGTGGTGAGTGGTGGTGAGTGGAGGGAGTGGTGGTGAGTGGGGGGAATGGTGGTGAGTGGGGGGAGTGGTGGTGAGTGATGGTGAGTGGTGGTGAGTGGGGGAGTGGTGGTGAGTGGGGGAGTGGTGGTGAGTGGTGGTGAGTGGGGGTGAGTGGGGGAGTGGTGGTGAGTGGGGGAGTGGTGGTGAGTGGGGGAGTGGTGGTGAGCGGTGGTGAGTGGGGGTGAGTGGGGGAGTGGTGGTGAGTGGGGGAGTGGTGGTGAGTGGGGGAATGGTGGTGAGTGGGGTGAGTGGTGGTGAGTGGGGGTGAGTGGGGGAGTGGTGGTGAGTGGGGGAGTGGTGGTGAGTGGGGGAGTGGTGGTGAGTGGTGGTGAGTAGTGGTGAGTGGGGGAATGGTGGTGAGTGATGGTGAGTGGGGTGAGTGGTGGTGAGTGGGGGTGAGTGGGGGAGCGGTAGTGAGTGGGGGAGTGGTGGTGAGTGGGGGAGTGGTGGTGAGTGGGTGAGTGGGGAAGTGGTGGTGAGTGGGGGGAGTGGTGGTGGAGCGTTTCACGCGCTGCGCTACAAACCCGGCGACCCGAGTTCGATCCCAGCCCACGGCCAACACCGGTGACAATTATCTCTGAACCGGTGACGATAATCTCTGAACCGGTTCCTGGGTCTCCACCTACGTTGACTCTGGTGCGGTGGGCAGTGAACATTACCACTGGGGGAGACAAAGGCGGCCGGGCGTCGTGTTGGCCACCCATCACCTCGTGTGCCGTGCCGGCCTTCATAAGGTGCTCGCTAACAGCACTTGCCCCGACATTCTATTAAGGCTATGCGGGGGATCTTTGTCTTTGGGTTATAAGTCCAACTTGCAAGAGTTGACCCGAGTCGCCCAAATCACAAAAGGCAAAACGTTAAAACGATTAACTTAATGAGTAACCAGGTGATTAATCTCGTCCTCGCTCTCGCCACGCCGAGTTAATAGAGCAAACCTTGCACCAACATTTAGACTGTATCCACTGCTGGATGAATGGTTGCCTCCGCAATAAACATGCCACTGTCGGCGCATGGTTGGCCCAACGTTAGCCCAACGTTCACACGTGGGTGGGTGGGTGTGTAAGTGAATGAGTGTGTGGCTGAGTGGGTGAGCAACTGGGTGCGGGTTCCGACTGGACGAGTGACTCGATGGATGACTGGGTGGGTGAATTTCTGAGTGAGTGGCCGAGTGGGTGACTGACTGCGCGAGTGACTGGATGGATGACTGGGTGGGTGAATTTCTGAGTGAGTGGCCGAGTGGGTGACTGACTGCGCGAGTGACTGGATGAATGGATGACTGACTGACTGACTGCGCGAGTGGGTACCCGCTGCCAGGACGTATGCGCCTCACCTGGTTGCCGAAGACACCGATGGAACAGGCGGTGGAGACCTCCTTGGGGCCAAACCACACGGAGGCGAGTCGTGACGGCATGCCCAGGATGAACACCTGTGCCACCCCGCAGATGGACTGGGCCAACATGGTGATGCCAAACCCCAGGTGGTCGGGCCTCACGCTGGCCAGCTTCAGCCACGAGCCGCACGCGTTGAGCGCCGATCCGACGATGGCGATGACCCGCAGACCCTTGCTGTCGAGTAGCCACGTGACGGGGAAAATGAGCGGAATGTACACCACCATGTAGACCATGGACAGCCAGTCGATGGAGCCCGTGGAGACGTCGTAGTAGCTGGAGAAGATGTGATTGAGGGTTCCGTACTCGATCCACTGGAAGGCGTTGGCCAGCGAGTAGCTGCTGAAGAGCAGGACCAGGACCCATCGGCGTGGCGAGAGTCCCGTCTCTGGCTGGACATCCGTGGGCCCGGCCGGGGTGATCTCGTCCGCGACCGGTCCGGGCAAGTGAGTGTCTCTCTCCGATGTCTCGTGGCTGCTGGCATCGTCGGTGAACTCTTTGCCCACCTCGCGAGTGGCCTCGTTCGTGGTCATTGCCAAGAATCTCTACGCCACCTTTGGGAGGTGTCTTCTTAAATGTTCTTAAACGTTCCGGCGAAAAGGCAATAATTACGCAAATAAAAAAATGTGTGATTTGTAACCTGCGAGATTTCTGTTCCTGCCAGTCACGAGAATGTCCACATGGCCTGGCTACAACTTGACCGCTGCGTGTGTGTGTGTGTATATATATATGGTTAAATACTTGGCAGGTTTAATAGTACAACTATAAATGTTTAATTATTTACGAGATGTACATTTTTTTCCCAATAAAACACGGACTGATAAGAAAGTCTTACGAGTTGCAGGGAGCACTTGCGCAAGAAACGTTACTTAACACGCGCGCACGACTGCTGCTTCAGGCGACTTACGCATGGCTTACATGACGTCAAAGACAAACATTCACACCTACCGGCCTTTAAATAACGTTTTGGGACACGTTCCGTTAACGAGCAGCGCCTATGGAAGGTCGGGCACGGTGCGTCAAAGGGGCAATTGGCCACAGCATCACGCCCGGCCGCCTTTGTCTCCCTAGTGGCGATGTTTACACACCGCACCAGGTACTCATTGGAGACAGAGTCGCCATAGGGGAGGGCCCAGGAACGGTTTTAGATGATCGCTGTCGCTGGCTGTGAGAGGGAACGCAACTCGAGTCGCCGGGTTCGTAGCGCAGCGCGCTAACCGCTGCGCCACCGCTCCACGCGGGCAAGCGAGAGACAGAGACGCCCCTATCAATTAACAATGCCGACTAAGCATCAAGTACAGTCCGACACGCACATGGGTTCTTAAAAATGTTAAATAACCACTGCAGTATATACACACACACAACACACACAAACGCGACTTTTCATTAGATCATCACACAAAAAAGTGCCCCCCCCCCCCGTATAGCCTTCACAGACTGTAGGGGCAAGTGCTGTTAGCGAGCACCTATGAAGGCCGGCACGGCACACGAGGGGGTGGATGGCCAGCGCCACGCCCGACCGCCTTTGTCTCCCCAACAGCTAACCTCTACACCACCGCTCCCCGCAAACCATCGCACACGCGCGCGCTCCACACACGACTGCGAACGACCTCAAACCGAAGACACAAACAGGGTCCAAGACTGATCTGGTTAAATATCTACTCGGGGTGGGGGGGGGGGGGGCAATTTCCAACGTTGTCTTCTTCGCTCGCGTAACGTTTACCGCATTAACGAAGGGGGGGGGGGCACATCAAAGTACGCATCGAGTGGACGGAGCAGTTCCACCGTTCGGCTCCGTTTTCGTTTTAAAGGGACCCCTCTAACGCTTCCGCATCTTAACCCGAGTAAGGAACGCAGTGCATACCACCCCACACACACACTACATACACACCACATACACACCCCACACACACCACGCCACATACACACTACACACACACTCCACACACACACCACGCCACATACACACTACACACACACCGCCACATACACACTACACACACACCACGCCACATACACACTACACACTCCACACACACCACGCCACACACACACACTCCACACACACCACGCCACATACACACTACACATACACACCAACCACACACACACACCACGTCACATACAAACCACATGCACACCACATACACACACGCCATACACAGCACACACACCACACACTACACACACACACCACACATACACCCTACACACACACCCCACACACACCACGCCACGTACACACCACAGACGCGCCACACACCCCATACCACACACACCCCACACCACACACACCCCCACACCACACATCCCACACACTCCACACCCCCCACCCCACACACACCGCTACACACTCCGCGTGTCACAGTCGCACGCCCCTTATCTTTCCACCACGCCGCGCGGAGGGAGCGGTGGCGCAGCGATGAGCGCGACATTGTGAGCTTTGCACCTCCAGTCCAAAAGGGGGGGGCGACTGATGTGCGGCTATCGTAAAACGTCTCGTCGTTTGTAACAACAACGAAAAAGACGATTCCTGTGCATACACAGGGTTCGTAAACGTTATACTCTTAGGTTTTTTTCGGTAAAGTCACGTAGGTAAAAAATAATAACAGAAATAAAATAATAATAAATGAAAATAAATCAAATTTCGATTTAAAGCTTTCGTGACTGCAGGGATTCATCTTCTTGGTTCTTTCGGTAAAGTCCGAGAGAACCAAGAAAATACATCAATTAAATCACGACGTTTCGGAGGCAACGCAAGTCTCCGTTTTTTTAAAAGCTTCTGAGAATTGGCAACAACACCACAATAAATGTGCCGCCTACGGTCCCTGGAGACCACCTGGAGAAGATTCCAGGCAATGCGTTGACAGCGATGGCGAACGAGTGGAGCGATCAACATACATCTGTTACCATGTTTACGGTGTATGATTATCCGTTGATTTTCCATTATAAAAACGAGTCCCGTGTAAGTGTTAACACTTTTTTGAAGCACCCTGTACTACGACTTCATCCCTCTACGCCCTCTCTCCGGCGGACTGAGCAGTAAACTTGCGCTCGAGAGAGACCGGCTCGAGTACGCCAAGCGACCGGCAACAATCCGAACTATTGAAGGCGTAAACTGACCCACATTGTGAACGGCAGAGGGCACTTGGGTGTGACAACATCTGGCAGTTGACCGGCATCGATTCAAGCAAAAAGGCCAGAGGCGAAACCGACTGTCGAAACCGGATCAAGAGATTCCCCGCGTCCACACGAGACAAAATCAGTCGCCGTGCGAGCGAGCGAACGACGGTGGTGGTGGCGGTGGGTGGGAAGGGAGCGGTGGTGGTGGTGGCGGTGGTGGTGGGAAGGGAGCGGTGGTGGCGGTGGTGGTGGGAAGGGAGCGGTGGTGGTGGTGGCGGTGGTGGTGGGAAGGGAGCGGTGGCGGTGGTGATGTTGGTGGTGGTGGCGGGATCTGGGAGCTGGAGACGGTGCAAGGAATGGGAACACGGATTGCGGGGCGATTTTGAAATCACGAACGCCCGAAAGGCGTGCTAAGCCGCGGATACGTAAAACCTCATGCCGCTGATACACAAAACTCCACACCACGGATATACAAAACCTCATACAGCTGATACACAAAACTCCACACCACGGATATACAAAACCTCATGCCGCTGATACACAAAACTCCATACCACGGATACGCAAAACTCATACAGCTGATACAAATACACAAAACTCCATACCATCGATACACAAAACCTCATACCGCTGATACTGATACACAAAACTCCAGCACCACGGATATACAAAACCTCATGCTGCTGATACAGAAAACTCCCTTCCTGATGACGAACGCTTGTGTTGCGATCGAAACGTCGTAGTTTTTTTGTTATTTTCTTTGAACCCACCTACGTGACTTTACCGAAAGACCCATAGAATATCCATACCGCGGTTAGCAAATTGGTGTGTCCAAGGAAAACCGTGCGCTGCATTCGCAAATACCAGCGGATGCTAAGAACGCGGTTAGCGAGGGATCTCTGTATTGTAATTAACGACGATGCATCGATTATCTGAGTTGTTCACAGACGCCTTCATGCACCTTGCCGTCTGCTGTTCCACGTACAAGTTTCCTGGGCCCCACCATCATCATCATCCCTTCGAGAGGTGAAGTTTCCTGCTCAAGCCTGCCCCCCCCCCCCGCCACTTTCATTACCAGTTTGATGTCATTACGCAGCGAGCGTTTGTCCGTAGCAAAATAAAACAGAACCACAATTGCGTCGTTTCCACGTGTAAATGAAAACATTGTTTTGGTGCTTCAGCCCATTTGCTTTCAGATCAATGATAAACCAGATTTTGTTTAGAGCAAATAAACTACGTTCACATTTTTACCTTGGTCTCATGACGTGGCTGTGAATGTTTGTTCCATTATTTTCTTACTTACCCCTTCATATATACATGACAATGCATTATGTGACTAATTGATAGTCCTTTATTAAGTCACTGATGGATGAATCCCTTGGCCCTGCCATAGGAGGGGGGGGTGGAGTTGGGGGGCCGTTTGACTATATTTCACCATGTTGACGCCGGATAAGCATCCCTTCCAGCCATGACGCCACGACTGGTACAATGCACAATGATGCTTCATATACCCTCGGGATTTACCAGGGCGGACGCCGGGCGTGAACTGCGGTGGGGATGCTAACTACTTCGCCTGGTATACAGGTCATAGGGTTCGATCCCGACCCTGGCGCTTGTATATTTGGAGTTTGCGTGTGTGTCTCTCTCCCCGAGGTCGTGTGGATTATTCTCTGGTTCCTCCGGTTTTCCCCCTCCACATTAAAAATCAACATCACGCCGTTAGATTATTTGACTGCTATACATTTCCACGTGATGACAAGCCACTTCGTTGAGCTATCATTTGTGACAGCCGGGACGCTTTTGAAATAGAGCTACGTGGTCGCTCAGTGGGTGCCCTCTTATCTGGCAAAATAAAATAAAGTGTTCATAAGAATTGAGAAAAAACCGCGAATCTTCGCAACAAACGGGGGCAAAAAAATCCACGACACCGCAGGGGCCGTGGTCACCGCCCTGGTTGGAGATGGAATTCCTCGACACGCTCCGCGCAAGACGCAGCAATATAGAAGCTTCGAGCGTCGTCGTCGTCAATTTTCACCAACTTTAATCACTCTCTCAAAAAAACAAACCCAAATACAATGTAAATCATTTGAGCGATTTTTGTCCTGTGAGTTAACGTGTCTCGTGTCATGCAATTCCTTTCAGTTTGTTAGTGACGATTCTAAACGGAAGCCCTCATCCCTAAATCACAATATTTCATTAACGTCTTAATATTACCGTAGGGGAGAGGGAGGGGACCGGTGAGGTTTGGGGCGGGCGCAACAGAATTGAGAGCAAGCATCAGATTTATTCCTCAACCATCGCATTGGGAAAATTATCACAAACAACAACGCAGCTGAAAGTGAATCGCTCTCACCACCCACCCCCCTCCACCCCATTGTCGACAATGGAGGAGAGGGCACTGGGTATGGCAGAGCAAGCGTCGTGGAGGCGAACAGACACGTAGAAGGTTAAAGGTGCAGCCCGCCCTGCCAATGTCTTGCTCGCCACTGCAGACGGAGGGGCCTTCAACGGAGTTCGAGAGCTCCCCCAGAGGGTGTTCGGCCGCAATTCTTTCCAGCGGGGAGTACCCCCCGGCACTTGACTCCAGGAGTATAACCTCGTGGGTCCATACCCACACGGGGGTATACTTCTGGGCGGGCAGAAGCGCACAGAGGGGAGTTCGTGAGCAACGCCCCCCCCCCCACCCCCGTTGTTCCAAATGCCGTTGCAGCGAGACGGGAGTCAAACCGGCGACCTCTGAATTGCAAGTCCAACGTGCCAACAATGACATCGCAACCTAAAACACGACGTGCGTTTTAACCGTACGAATCGATCAAACTGCGGCGAGGTCCCGCAAAAAATGGCATGTTTACAATCCTGGCCAATCCGCGTGCTTCCCATTCTTATCGTCATTAAGCGCGCGGAATTATTTCTCATTTTTCCCCATCACGCTCTTCGTTTTCCCTTTAAGGTTTGGACTCCGCGTAGCGGTTGAACGCGAGAGCCGTGCTACAATTTGGCCAAAAGCAAAAGTGTGCCGAATATTTTACGTACCGCTTCGCCGACGAGATGAAAGTGTTCAAGTTGGTGCCTCGTCGCATGAAGCCCTGCGAGAGTCTAGACTCTAGAGGGCCGGGTCGGTATCACCCAGGGTGGGAAATTTCTACCCAGTGTCCACCATCGGCAGAAGGCGGCTTGTGCACACACTGCGTGTTCCATGCAAAGATCCCCCCTCGTGTAGCCTTAACAGACTGTAGGGGCAAGTGCTGTTAGCGAGCACCTATGAAGGCCTGAACGGTACACGAGGCGGTGGGTGGCCAGCACCACGCCCGGACTGCCTGTCTCCCTCGTGGCGATGTTTACACATGGCACCAGGTACTCATTTGAGGCCGAGTCGACCTAGGGGAGGTCCAGAACCGGTTCAGACAATCGTCACTGGTGTTGGCCGTGAGCGGGAATCGAACTCGGGTCGCCGGGTTCGTAGCGCGGCACGCTAACCACACACGTCCGAGGTATTCCGTAGAGATTTTCACCACGCTTGTTTCTTCCCTCCCAGATTGATATTCTCGAACATACTCCGGTAACCACTTTTTTTTCTTAAATGGCATGTTCCTCATAAAACAAGCTACCACCGTCACCTTTGTCACACACACACATTTGTGATTTAGACATACAACGCTTCAAAAGACAGTCATTCACCAATTGCCATCCTGGGTGGTACCGATAAAGCATCTGTAACGCCATGGTTTGAAGCGAACAAATGGTACAAAATTCTAATGCTCAATCGGATATATTTTTTTAAAGCCCTGCCCTTTTTTTTGGTTATTTAATTTTATAACTACCACAGTTTCAGACACGCACAGCCAATGACGGAGCCAGGATTTTCAGGTGGGGGGGGGGGCAACCCCTCCAGCAATGAAAAATTTGAGGAGTTGTTAGTGAAGACTTGTCCCTTGCTTTTTATTCGACGCGTGTGCGGCGATGGCGCAGCCATTGATCGAGGGTCGAATTCGAACCGCGTTGTGATCGGCATCGCGCTCGCTGAAGGTGAATGCCTTCAGGGAAGTCGTGTGCTGTATACGCAACTGCGCACAATTCCGTGAATCACTTATAACCGCTTTGCCGTTACTTATTGCCAATTATGGACTCAGACTATTGTCCTATCATCTCATTGCATCCCTGGCACATAATATGCTACACAGTGGCAGTGGGGGTCGCAAAATGCCGATTTATTACTAATAAACCCCAATGATCCGATCGAAATTAGGGATTTCGATCAAATCATTGGGGGGGGGGGGGGGCACGTGCCACCCCACCCCCCCCCCCACTGGCTCCGCCAGAGCGCACAGCTCCAGTGTGAATCCCAACAACAACAACAACAACAACTCAACTTCCCCAACACTGCTGCAGTCCGGGAAAAACAACAGCACCAAAACGAGAGAAACATCGTAAGTGAACAACAGACGCGTTAAATTAATGTGCGGTGCGTGCAGTCCGACTCATCCCCCCACCGAGAACCGATGGATTCTGCCCAAAAATTATAATTCCAAACGGGACGGAGGGGGTTGGTGGGCAAGAGACGAGTAAAAAGTGCAGCTCTGAAAGTTGCTTTTCAGCGCCACCATTGACGGAAGGGCCTCCTCTCTCGTCCCTCTGCTAAAGCTTGTTCTTCTCAGGGCACTTGGTCTACTCTTCCCACGTTGACCAGACGGTGAGAGCAAGAGGCGGGAGTTACCCGCACTTTAACCTCACCCACGCGCGAGCTGCCCATACCCCGACTGCGGTGAACCCCATCCACACCGCTGCGGAGCGGACAGGCTTGAGAAACTTGCCACGCCGAGAGAATGAATCGAGTTGGCGACCTTAAGTCGTGGATAGCCAAGCGAGAGAGAGAGGGACTGAGATAGAAACAGGATGGGTGGGGACACGTTCCAGATTTAAATATTGCAGACGGGCTCCGTGTTTTCCACACCCCCCCCCCCCTCCCCGATCGTTGACATTTTCGAGGTAATAATCGGTGGTCGTGCCTTCGCGCCGGGGAGAGCGACATCCTTCGATGCCCCGCAGCGCCACTCCGGGCAGGAACGGCACAAGCGTGGCAGAGTGCACGCGGAATCCCACTTGACGACGAATCCCAAAACGGACATTTTTCGGGGGGGGAAGCGTCGAGACTTCGTATCCACGCCCTCTCTTTTACAGATTATTGCGAAATTTGGGAGAATCTCCCCACGAGATTGAATCCGATGAAACAAGAGCAGAAATCGGTACCTCCTGACGTAGTACAGATTGCTGTTGTTTTGTTACGTGGATGATACGAGCAAATTATTTGATAGCCCACTCGTTTCAAATGGTCATCACATAATTCACTGTTGGCCAAAACGGAGAGAAATTGGAACTGTTAAAGTGATGCCACCCCAGGTGGTGCTGACGAGCGAGACATCTGCTCTGGGTCATGGACCGATCGCTATGCTATCGAGTGATTAAACATTACACCAGTATTCCTACACCAATGTGGCAGAGCTATCACCTTACCATAATAATACACAATCGCTTGAGTTATAGTGCTCGGCTGGGCATAGCACATGCGTTAAATAGGCTGCTGTGGGGCTACGTAATAGGCTGTGCGGCAAAACCCAAAGTTGCACCGTACTGTGATGCCATGCCCACTGCTCCACGCCTTCATCCTGTACTGCCCCCATCGTGAAGCAAGGTCAAATAACCCCTACGAGGGCGTTGAAGGAGGCCTTCATCCAGCAGTGGACTGACAAGGGCTGTACACGTGTAACACGTGGCCAAATGGCCGAGCGAAACCCTGAAAAGCACCACCACCTTCCATGATTCGGGCAGAAACACCGGCTCGTGGTCGTGCGTGTGTGGAAATGCCGGCGAGATAGATATTTTTTTCCTTTTAAAAGTTTATCTAATTAAGTGCTGCAATTTGACGCGTGGACCAGAAGTCACTTGGCAGGGAGAGATCTCAAGAGTTAGATCTGCGATCTCCGCTTCTGTGGGCTATTCTCCGGTGACATGAGAGGGTCGTGCCGCTCTGCGAGAGTTCCGAATGGATAACTTGGCATCCCGTGACGCCGATAGCACACATCGGGATATCGTGGAAGAAAACGATTACGATTTAACATTACCCAGTGATCAAATGGGTAAATTCTGCCTACATTTGCAAACCGAATACAGTTGGAAAATCATCTTTGTTGTAATCATGCGGTGTCAAAACGTATCAGTTAAAAATCTACCCAAACAATAAAAAAGAAAAATCTATATCCCTTTTATAATTAATATTGACAAGAGAGCAAGTGTCATTTGCCGACCTTCACATATCGGCACCTATACCTTTGCCCAGTCAGATATGCGATGTCGTAATCCATTCCTCCCCCATCAAATAAAGGTGGGCCAACAATTCCCAGACTTAAAAAAAATACCTTGACATTTGACAACTAAAATCTGCAATTTAAATTTTCTGGAAAAGGGAGAAACCTCAAAAAGCTCTCGAAGAAAAAGAAAAAAAATATATTTTTGGTGCAGCTGTTCAACAACAAAAAAAATAAAGATAGCAGCCAGAAGTGTAACGTGCCACCATTCAAAATCGCCAATAAATTCGGAAAGATTACAGCAGCTTCAGCGACGCGGCGATGAGAGATAAAATACAGATCCATACTTTTCCCTCCACTCAGAAGCTCGTAGGTTGTGCGTACATTGCTCTTACAAAAGTTTTGAATCGCTTGAAAGTGTTCAACTAGGATAGCGAGACGGTAGTTTCTGCCGCCTCGTAGGAGCACGAAGCGAGACTGGGTGCGAGCGAATCGAACCAACGCCAAAGGGGGAAGCGCCAATTTATTTTTTTTGAGCTACGCACGTGGCGGATTCCTTCAGTTAAAATTCGAGCCGACGCTCACGGCATGGCGCGAGCCGCGGTGGGGGTTGCCGGCGCCGCGTGTCTTCGTCCGCGACGCAACTCGTCGTGCGATCGGTGGATTTTTCGAATATACGTTTGAAGCGCAAGCAGCAGTTGCAAACTTGCCTGCTGTGTTTCGGACAAGCCAAAGCACGCTGCTCGGGTGCTATCTTAGTTTTCTCGCAAAAATCAAGTCATGGTGATGTGAAGAAAGGGGGGGGGGGGGGGAGTTGGATGGAAAAGCCAAATAGGGACGGAAAACTGGGAGTTTTGTTTGTTTGTTAAATACGAAAGGGGAGTGAACGAGAGGTCCATGAAAGGGGAAACAAAGCGAAACTGGGAAGTGGTTTCAATTGGAGGCTGTGGGATAGAGTATTTTTTTTTTATTCCGCAGCTACGTGAATGGTTAAAAGATTAAACACGAGTGAAAACGAACAAAGCGTTTTGTGGGAAAACAGAGAACGGATTAGCCACTTGGCCCGACAACACGGCTCAAGAGCTGGGTTCTTGTGGAGACCTCCGATGCGCAATGGACCCATCGACCCCTTTGCTCACTGCCACCTCTGCAAGAGCGCAGATACGGACTAAGGGCCCGGGGGAGCATTGTCCACCAGACAGCCTGGTTTTCCAGCAGCCATAGCAAGCAGATGTGTATAGAGCCCTGTGTAAGTAAGTGCAGTGAGGGGGGCAAGAGGTGGGTTGGAAGGGGGAAGCAAGTGCACCTGTCACAGGCCAGACAAAAATATTTTCCTGATTTAGGGCACAGTTTGTTCTAGATTCAAGTGTGCAGACGGGTGTGTGGGGGTGGAGGAGAGGCAAGCGAGAGTGGAGAGCGATAGGGGAGACTGGGACCAATGCGTGGGGGAGGGTAGCGGTGATGGATGGGGTAGCAGAGAGGATTGTTGGAGAGCCCCAAATCTGGCGAGTCGCCCTGCCGACGGGCATCGTTAGATGTCGAGGAGCATGATGCGGGGATCTTCCACCGCTGCCTTGATCTTGCGCAGGAAAGTCACAGCCTCCCTGCCGTCGATGAGCCGGTGGTCGTACGTGAGCGCCACGTACATCATCGGCCTGATTTCAACCTGCGCAGGACGGAAGGGGTGGGTGGGGTGGGGTGGGGGGAGAAACGTGCAGACGTAACGGCACAGGTCAGACGCGCGCGTGCACAGGTTGATGGGACGAGGTGGTGGCGGTGGTGGCGCACGCCTGTAATCCGGCACGGTGACAGCAGCGAACCTCCTTTCCCCATCGGTGGGCATCGAGGGAGGTGCCACACCCTGGCTTGCCATGAGAAGGCGGGTAGTGCGAAGTGCGAACTAGCACCATCTGTCCATGGAGTGTTGCCCTCTCGCATGCGTGGGTTTTCTCTGGGTGCGCTGGCTACCTCCATCACGTATGAATGCTCATGAATCGGCCGAAAACGTCTCAATATACAGAGGACTGCAGAGCTCGGACAATCGTTGGGAGCACCGGCTCGCCGCCGCACTGCTGACTTTCCAGCTCGTCCCGTGACTCCTCGGCGATTGCGAGATGCGATTTGCAAGAACGGACGATGCGGGTGATGGAGGGATGCGGAGCGGGACGGGTGGAGGGATACAGAGGGAGGCGGGCGGAGGAATGCGCGACGTTACCTTGCCGTTGATCGCCACGGGGCGGTCGTTGATGGCGTGCATGCCCAGGATGGCCGACTGCGGAGGGTTGATGATGGGCGTGCCGAAGAGCGAGCCGAACACGCCGCCGTTGCTGATGGTGAAGGTGCCGCCGTCCATGTCCTCGATGGCCAGCTCGTTCTTGCGCGCCTGCACGATGTGGGCGCCGGGAGGACGAGAGAGAGTTCGCGGCCGGGCAAGATGCAACGCGACAGGCGGAGAGAGGGGGGCGGTGGTGGTCGAGCTATAAGACGGTCCAAATTTTGGTCACATGTGAAAATGTCAAGCAAATTACGACTTGTTTGACGAGTGTTTAAACCGGGAAAGCCTCACCGAGTCTCAAGACCACTTTTCAGGGAGGCTCCTGTCAATTCTTGCGCATGTTACCGCTGTGTGCGTAATCCCATTTGAGTCGTTTGCAGGGAATTTTTCAGCTTTGGGACATTTGGCCAATACCAGTTGCGATTGTGTGGTTTTTACTTTTATAATCTACGACGTTACGGTACAAGATCCGCGATAATCGTGTCGTACTATTGCGGCGAGGGCATGGCCCACGGACGTGGGGCATCACAGAGCTCCCTGCGAGTTGCGTTCAAGTGACCTCTGGTCCGCACAGTAGAGGGCTGCACACTTTCCCACCCACTCTGCATGCGACAGACTGCCGCATGACAGAAAAACCCAATAATTAAATTTATAGCGCTGGAGATTGGCCAAATTAGGCACACAGCCATATTAAATGCGATGGGTTTTTATGGTGCGCAGTTATTGACGACTGGGCTGAAACTATCATATCATTCGACTTTAGAATGCAGTTTAATCACAACCCAGTCTACGTTAGTCTATGGGTCTTCTACGCGAGTCCACGGGTCTCTATGCGAGTCATTTGTGACCAGGCTAAGACTATCATATCAATAGACTTGAGGACTGAGTTTTAATCACAACTCGCTGCCTGGAATCAAACACGCAGGATCACACAACCAACAGTCCCAGCTCAGCGCTCTGACCTCAGAGCCACCCGGCCACCTACATTCTTCATATGCTTTAGAAATATCCATTTATTATTACACAAGCTAAGCTTGCATACAGACTCTTATGCCGGCTTACGGAATTGCATTGGAATCTTTGTTAAGCCGACCGGCAAACGGGGTTAGGCCAATAACAATCACCGAGCCCTTTAGATTGTACAGAGGCCCACAGTCTCACGCAGACCAATAGAATGAAACATGGACTCGCAGACTCGTACACTCTCCACTCTCGTTCATATCCCGGGTTCAACACCTTCTATGTTTCCCCTCTGCTGATAGCTAAATGCTTCTCTCTCTAAAAAAATAATAGTTCAACTTGACATGTAGGTTTTCGCAGCCAATATTACGATTCGTCGTTCATTCTCGGGTTCGGACACCGTTTGTTTGTGTAGAGCGTCATAAGACGCGGTCAAACGAAAAGTATTTTTTTATTTTACCAAGTAAAGCCCAGAGAGCGGTACAGCTCTTTTCAGACGCAACCTGGCCACAAATGATAGCTCAATGGAGTGGCTTATCACATGGAAATGTATAGCAACCAAATTCTCTAAGAAAAGCACGTGGATTCTAAACGTGGAGGGAAAAACCAGAGGACCAGGAGAAAAATCCACGCGACCACGGGGAAAACATTCAAACTACAATTTTACAAGCGTCACAGGGTCGGTATCGAACCTACGACCCCCTGCATACCAGGCGAGGGAGTTAACAATCTTCGCCACCGTGGCGATACACAAATGCACGGCGGGCACTGCGTCATACCTTCTCGCCCATCTCGAAGATGGCCCTCTCAATGTCGGCAAAGTTCATGGGGCCCACGTTCCGCAACACGGGCACCACCAGGCCCTGTCGGCAAAAAGTTCAACAACAATCGTCGCCCGAGCAATCAATTTCTGCACCTCCAGATTACATACGGTGCAAAAGAAGTTACACATATATATATAAAATATACATTTGCAGGCAAGTGTATGCATTAACCCCCCTTTGTCAGAGCAGGTACCATCTATCACACACAGGATGTTCTGTTGTTATCTAGTGGCAATATCTGGAAGAAAAAAAAACATTGGACACAAGGACTAACCAGGGACATGCCCCGATCATTAATTCGTTCCGAAAAACGACCAAAAATGGAACAAAGTTAACAGAATAAACTTTTAAAAAGTGTCTCGCTGCGGGGTGATACACGGTTGAAGAGCGCAGTTGTGAAAGAGTTAATTAGTATTACACACGTTGTTACAAAGTGTGATATGCAGCACTTTGGACCTGACACGTACGTTGATGGAAGATACAAATTTTTCCCCTTATTTATGCCAAAAACTCACAGAACTTTGGCTGTTTTTCCCCCACCAAATATTGATGCAAACAGACCTTGAGCCACCACATAAATGACATCAATAGAGAGAGATTCACCGCACAACAGATTTTGGTTCTAAAAACCGGTCATGAGCCATTGTGAATAAAAGTCCCCTGTTGGAAGGGAAACCTGGGTTATAAACTGATATAATGGACGGCACACCACATGAACAAATGGGTTACCGAGCATAATAATAGTACACGGTGGATTTCAAAAGGAGGGGTCAGTTCGAAAGCAAACAAGAAAAAAATTGTCCCCGAAACCGCCAAAGGACGCGTTGAGAAAGAGGAGCAACATGAAGCAAGAGCTGGGACAGTGAAGATGAAAAGTCCAACGAAATCTTCATCGACATCGTCACCATGGGAGTACGCAAGATACATTTTCACGTACAGCCCTTGGTCAATCTACTGGATGAAGGCCTCCTCCACACCGTTGTTGGTCGTAGGGGTTTATTTGAGCATACCCAGGTATCACTAGCTCGCCACTGATGCTGGCCATGAGAGCTCGGAAACGAAATAAAGGTTGCTTGGTTCGAATTTGCGGTGAGCCAGTGACTGGGCCATCGGCTCCACTCCCAATTTAGTGCTCTGATATTTAAAACACTGTTATAACACTAAATTGAAATCTTGGCGACAGATAATAATCACTCGGACACAGCTCCGTCCAGGATAGGACGCTGACACGGTCAGCGACAAAGAACTCGCGTACAAAAACGCTGTGCACGCAGAGTGTTGTTTCACCATCACGCTGTACCCCGGGGAATGCTGTGTGTGCCCACTGTGCCCCACGTTAGCTGTGTATTTCCTATGCGCTTTGAATAAGGCCCATTGCCCAAAATTTCACCTGCTACATGTTTTGTCTTAGGGCCACACGGTGGTATTAACTAATACGTTTAACAAAAAATGTGTTCTCTGTGCTTGTGCACAACTGCCAAAGCAGTATCACCAGAAAACTTGTGCATGTCCAGATCAGTTGCGAACACATATCTTGGGAAGTTTTTTTTACGCACATGGTAGGAGACTTGGGAGTACCTGGAGAAAACGCGTTGAAATATGATGACGTTGAAATATTCAAAATTATCTTTTTTTTAACTCGGTTGCCAAGCGCAGGGCCAGAAGACCCACATCGCCAAGTCGCCAGCAATGAACGGCACCCTCAAAAGTGCAACAGAAAGAGTGAATACTTTTTTGAATCGAGCAAAGATATAAGCGTTTAGGTGGGGGGGAAGCAACAAATATGGTAAGGAATTCCAGAGTGGAGCAGTACAAGAGAAAGAAGCAGAAAGAGAAGCGTTGTGGCCTATAGGGTGGTGATGGGTGGGTGAGAGAGTTGTTGTGATGACATAACATGTGGTGAGTGAGTGGGTGAGCGAGAGAACGAGCCGTTGTGAGCTACAGTGTGGTGAGTGGGTGTATCGTTGTGACCTGCAGTGTGGTGAGTGAGTGAGTGAGCGTGTTATTGTGACCTGCAGTGTGGTGAGTGTGTTGTTGTGACCTGCAGTGTGGTGAGTGAGTGTGTGTGTTGTCACCTGCAGTGTGGTGAGTGGGTGAGTGAGCAAGCGTGTTATTGTGACCTGCATTGTGGTGAGTGAGTGTGTTATTGTGACCTGCAGTGTGGTGAGTGAGTGAGCGTGTTATTGTGACCTGCAGTGTGGTGAGTGAGTGAGTGTGTTATTGTGAGCTGCAGTGTGGTGAGTGAGTGAGCGTGTTATTGTGACCTTCAGTGTGGTGAGTGGGTGGGTGTGCAGTGTGGTGGTTGAACATGGTGTGGCCGAGGCTGGTAGTCCCGAGTCCTCAACATGGGCTGACGATGAGCAAGGTTGGCTACGTACGGGTGTACGAAAGAAGTTCAACGTACGTACGTACATGCGCACGACGGGATAGTCTGCACGAAACGCGAGCACGCAAAAAACCCCCGTCGTCGCTTTACCTTGGCCGTCGACACGGCGACGCTGATGTCGATGTAGTCCCGGTACACGATCTCTTTCGTCACGTCGTCGATCACTGAGGATGGGGGCGCACAGCGCACACACGCTCGCAGTCAGCGCCGCGGCGACGCGCTCGCACGTCACCAGCCCCTCGCGTTAAGACCCGGCGCTCGCTTTTTCTCCACGTGCAGATTGAGTGAAAATCTAACCCGCTTTTCCTGCCACACCGGGACAATTTGGTTCATTCACGAGGCGTTGCTTAGTCGACAAGCCCGAGGCGCATTTCTCTCGTTGATGTCACTCCGTCATTCTGCCACACGCTTCGTCCGTCCCAACGTCCTTCCTCGTTGGATATCATCTAGCGACGCCATTGCTTTCCTTCATCTCCATCTCTCCCCCAAGAATCTTGCCTCGATCATCTCCTTCAGATCATTCCCCTATCACTAACCACCAGGCCAATCACCTCCTTCAGCTCATTACCCTGTCACTAAACCACTTGGCCAATCACCTCCTTCAGATCATATCCCTCTCGCTAACCACCAGACCAATCCAGATGTCCTTCCTCTCCCCGATCGATCAGGTCAGTCCACGTTCTTGTCATCCTACCAGGCGCCAGGATCCCACCCCCCCCCCCCCCCCCCCCATGTTTGTTTTCCTAGCATTTGGGACGTTTCGATGGCCTTGGGCGGAGGGGAGTACCTCCGTTGACGACGGGTTGTTCCTGCAGGGCAAAGGCCACGGCCTTGACGAAGGGCGACATGAAGCCGAGCTTGAGGCCGTGCTTCTTGAGGAACACGTCCTTGTGCCGATTCCGCATCTCCATCACGTTGCTGCAAAGGGGGCGCCAAAAAATTATCGTCAGCGACGGTGAAATTATTATTAATTTTAATCGGAGAGGGAGAGAGAGACTGGTTCGGAGAAGTGGGAAACCACGCACATAGGTGAAGATAGCCAGTGGCAACAATCGCCAAGGCTCTGTGGGTCCCATATTGGAGAAATGCACGTTTGGAATTACACTGAGACATAGAAAGTTGAACACGAGGATTAGTGAACATGTGCAGATTAATGACATCACGATGGACGATGTGGCCAAGGATAACAACAGGGTGGGCAGCCAAGGAATGGAACGCGTCTTGAGAGAACATCCGTGGAGGAGATGGAGCGATGAAATCAGCTTGTGTGCAGGTGTGAGGTGGACTGTTTCCGTTGCAGGATCACGAGAGGGGGTGGCGGAGCCCTGGGGAGGCCTTCATCCAGCAGTGGATGATGGCCCACCAGTACACGATAACAAACCTGTCAACCCCATACGGTTCACCAAAATTCTTGTACAGGGAAATGGAGTTCAGGCCCATACGGCGCACAGCTATTTAAATACGGGCAAAAAATAATAATTGTTAAAAACAAAAATTGTGTTTCTCCCTTGTGATGGGACTTTGTAGGATGAACGTTGAGATTTATTAGGGCACGGGGTGTCCAATAAGGTCTGAATTGGTCTGAAATAAGGTCGGGCACCAATAAACAGTTGACAGCTAGGCAATAAAATTTTGCAACGCTAATTTATGAGGAGTTGCATTCTAAGCATTTCTTAAGCCATATTAAAAAAACTGAAGCTTTAGTGCAAAGGTTCAGGAATTCCTGCCAAATTAAAGCTCAAATGCATAGCTTCAAGGATTCTTGGCTACGTTTCATGTATAAGGCAATCGTTGCAATTGGACTGGCCCAAATATGGTCACACACGAGACGTGTCCTGGAAAGACGATGGTTACCCAAAAGACAGGAGAGGGGTCATTCCACCTCCCATGACAATCACGGAGAAGAGGATTACGCTGGGAAGCCAACACAGCCGTAGCCAGACGTGTGCTGGGAAGGTGTGGAAGACCTCACACTTTACCCCAGTGCATTACGACCTGCCGATAAACTTAATTGCGGTGCGCCCAATTGCACTGCGGTGGCACGGCCCTGGCGATAGAGCGTTCGCCGCTTGGTGCAGAGGGTTCGCGGTGCGAATCCGGCAGGCCCACCCTGGTGATCACCGCGGATGCATTAACCGTAACGCACGATGCACCGTCCATTAAGGATCCCGTGACATCATTCGTAAGAGTGGGACGTTTGTGTGCCGGTGTCACGGTCCAATTTTTTTTGCTAAATTTGAAAAATTAACAGAAACTTAATTAACTGGGTAATAGCCACAGCAACATCAACCCCCCTAGTAGCATACTTTGTACCGAAACGTCATGATTTGTTTTATTTAATTTCTACCTTCGTGACTTTACCGAAAGAACCAAAGAGTATGAGTATAGAGTTTGTATCGTACCTTTTGTTAATCCGCATGATAATAAGCGACTTCGCTGAGCTATTATTTGCGGTCTCTATAAAAGCGCTATGTAGCTCAGTGTGCTTTACCTGGTAAAATAAAAAACAGTTCAGCTAATTTTAAAAGTGCCTTCAGCTTCGGTGAGGCTTTCATGGGTAAACAAGAATAATAATAAGCCCGCTTACAGAAACATGCAATGTTAGGCCAACGTTGGCATGTGGTTTGAAACGTTGAGCCAACGTTGCCCCAATATTGGCTCAACGTTCGAGACGTGGGGGCATCAGGCAGGCATTGAGCAGGGCAAGGGCTGCGCGCTCACCTCATGTCCACCTCGTTGAAGGTGGTGAGCATGGCGCAGGTGTTCTGCGCATCCTTGAGACGCTGGGCGATCCGCAACCGCATGCGGTTCATCTTCACCTGCGTGGACGTGCAAACAGACCGGACCATCACGATCATCCACAAACTAGGCGACTCTGCCTCCCCTACCCCCCCCTCCCTTCACCCCACAGAAAGAATTTCGGATTACACGTATCAATCGTCGCCCCATATCGGCAGACTAACGTCCACTTGCAGGCCGGTGCGAGTTCACCAGGTGCCACCAGGGACGTCTGCCGCCAGGGGTGCTCTTGGAAAGGTTGAGATGAAATGCACTCTTGATATGCCGTGTCATTTAAGCACCCCAAAAACGCAGATATGTATGTTTCTTTGAGTTTGCGGTATTAAATGGAAAGAAATGGTTTTGTCTTTAGTTTTTTGAGCCTCATCAGCAGCGTGCAGCCTGTTAAACAAATGCTGCCGTGTTGCCAGACTTCACGGACAAGAGCTCTCCGTGAACATCATGGGGCCCAGTCGTCCTGAACCAGAGGTGGAAATTCCACATTCCTCTGGTGGGGGCGAGTCTTACGACAGACCAACCCCTGCCGACTTTTCCACAAAGCGGTACTCCTTTAATCGGCCTGGGGGGGAATGGTGGTCCGAGCCAACCCCCAACTAGGATTTCAACTCTCAACCATCCGACTGCGAGCAGCCCCCTCTTACTGCTGGCCAGATGGGGTCACCGGGCAGAACCTCGAATGACCCGACTAAACCCCGTCATCTCGTCAACGCTAGCCTCACATGTTCTTCCTGCAGCTCTCCGCTCTGTTGCCGGCTGCTTTGCATTACAGGCTTAAGGGCCTCCACCGTTCGGAAACCACAAAACAAAAAAAGACAATCTCCACATGTTGTTGAGCAATCGGTGCCCTCCGTGCGCGCCAGCGGTCACCGCGATCGTTTTCCACCGTGCGCCTGGGGGGAGGGGAATGTCCTTACGCGGTGTTCCCCTCGCGTCGGGACAGCGCCGGCGCCCGACGGGACGGCCGCGGTCACTTGGACATCGGCCACTGCGGACACACGCAAGCACGCCGCGGGAACATTTTAATCTCACGGTACCTTTACGTTCACGCCCGCCCCCATCCCCCGCAACCCCGACAGTGATAAGACGGCTGGGCACGAAGCCATCACGGTACGGGTGGGCTTTTTTCCCTGCTGGGTAATTTGCCGAGCCGAGACGGACGCCAAACAGCGGAAGGACTGGCTCGGGGCCAAGCAGGGCCAGGTGGCGCATTCAGTGTGAAAATAATTGATCGTCAAATGAAAATCACGACCATTATTTTGGCACAATTAACCGAATAGAGTTACCCTTGCAGATCGTAAACAGCCACTGGTAATCGAGCTATTACCCGCCACAAGGATTCCACGTATCCCTTGTTGAGACGTGATGAACCCACACGGATTCAAGTCCGCGATGTTAAGACATCGTGGCGAACGGTGGCTGCAGGTGGTCACGCGAATCAACCGCACACGAATCGAATACAACCAACGGGAATGCACAATGCAATCGATGCACTGGGGAGGCGTTGGGGAAGGGGGTGGCGTAAGAGTCGATTCTAATCGATCGATGTTTATATCGTTGAATGCACACATCTGATCGCATCCTCCGATATCACACGGCAGAGGTGTTCGCTAATCTTGCCGTGTGTGCGGACTGAGAACATAGCCGCAAGTTCTGTTGGCGGGACCGCAGCCACCGGAGAATCCTGAAATGTGGCCAGTGAGCGAGGGCAGCCGGGGGGGGGAGTGGTGGTGGGTGGGGAGGAGGGGGGGGGCCTATGCAAGGTCACCGCGGTTACGGCAACAGTCAAAGTGACTCGGTGATCGCGGTGGATAAACAAGACCACGCTGACCCCGGTACTCCTCCGATCCCTCCACCGGTTCGCCAATCTAATCCCGGATGAATTTGAAGCACGAGTTTCACCGTCTCCACGGATCCTCACGCCTACCTCTGCCCTCTCGTCTCACTTCACTTCCCCTCTACGTGCTCTCCCAAATCTTCCCCTCTGGTCTCACTCAATCATGTTTTAAATAAAAAAAAATCGACATGCGGAAAGGTTTGCGTTAGTTACGCGAGCGCGAGCAGTGCAGCGCGGTGTTGTTGCGGATGAATACCGGCGTAGCGAGGAGTAAGGCGGCCTGCACCTTACGCAGCTTCACCAAGCCCGAGCTTTACCAGGATTAAGGTAAATTAAATGATTTATAGCGTTACGTGATCCCTTTCATTTTGTTGCATTACGTAACTGTTTGTTTTCTCTGCTTAGACCTATCTTTTTTCCCCCATGTTTCTATTGCTAGTTTTATTCATTTTAACTTTATTTATTTAAAACAATTACACTTCGACTGTTTATGGTCCCAGCCAACAGGGATTGGAGATGTCCAGGCCTAGAATAATGCACAATAAACGAACGTTGGGAAGGGACTGCTTTTTGTTAACAATAAATATTAACATGTTCCGTGGTATACATAAAAGATTGGATACAGTATATGTTCCACTAGTTTCATTATGGGTAGTGCTAGCGTAGATATTCGATCAAATGAAAGAATCACAGGAAGTGTAGAGCGTATGTACAGCGATACGATACAGGTCGCGATAGAAAATGGAAGACGGCAAGATACAATACCGAGAGAAAACGAACCTAGTAATCGGGTAGGGGAGGCACAACTATTTCTAGCTATGGGATTCTATCGCTGATTTGGCGGGGAAAATTGTTCAGTTTCCGACATACAGATCGTTCTCGGAAACCAAACCCTTCCGTAACCCAGGGACTGCCTAGACTCTACTCCACTCCACTTTCTCCTCCGCGACCAAGGCTTTCTGTCCAAGGCCCCCGGCCGACCATCACTCAGTGGAAAGTTCGCTCATTCTCCTCTGCTGCTCCCATTGTCTAGAACCCCCCTTCCCCACCCCCACACCAGGTCATCCGTGCTGTTCAAGTCCAGGCTCAAAACCTCTCATGTCACTCTGTGGCTACGACCGACCGCCGCTCTCCAATCAACCCGCCCACCGTCTCTGTGCGGCGTCCCGAGACGCAGCCGCTTGCTGACACGACATAACTCCACACGCTGTTAAGACTGGCCCCGACATCTGCCCTCGTGACTCGTCACCACCTCCCCAGGGCCTGTTCCGATGCCACGTCCACGCCACCTAGTGGTGGAGCCACGCATGCCCACCAGCTCCAACCGCGTGTCCACTGCTCCGTCACAGCCAAATTTACTGTATCAAGTGACGGTCCCACCTGAAGACGGAGACTTGCGTTGCCTCCGAAACGTCGTGATTTGAGTTATTTTCATTTATTATTTTAATATTATTATTTTACCTACGTGACTTTACCGAAAAAACCTAAGAGTATATAGTCTGGCGTCGGATCAGGACAACAACAAAAAAAACCGGGCAAGAAAGCGTGGCGAAAAAGACGACAAAACCGAAGTTACCGGGTTTGGACTCCAGTGGCTTCTTGGGCACAGGTGGCACAGGTGGCATCGTGGTTGGGATGGGCCCAGCTCCTGCTGCGGCCTGTGGAGCAGCCGCCTCTGCTGCTGGTTTTGCGGCAGCAGGAGCTTGCGCGGCAGGCTTGGTAGCAGCAGCAGCAGCTCCTGCCTCTGTGACGTGACAAAACGCAGCGATACCTTGGCTTTCGTCGCTTTGCTCTTTCGGCCGTTTTTAATGATAACCACATTTCAAATTTCGTCCACGCGGCTTTCCTCTTTCGTGCGATTTTATCCCCAAAGCTTACACGACGTTCGCGCCGCCACGCGCCGTCTTTTTCGTTCAGTCTTTGAATAGAAGTCGTTCAGTGAGCATCTCTTATATTTGTGTTTATTCGTGTGTTATTAATACTGTACTTATATCTGTGATTATACTGTAAACATTTGTAGAATACTAGTGTTTACTTACGCAAGAATGCAAATATTTAAAGGTATAATTTTGTTTATGTATTTAGTTTTGTATATTTATTATTTTATTTCTGTTTATTTAGGTTTATATAGTTACTGTAGTTATTTGCAGGTATGTTTTTCGCCGGCCAATAAAATTTTGCAAGCTAAATAAAGGCTCCGCTTGGACATTCGTCCATTTTTCACATTCGTCCATGCTCTGGTCCCTAACCAGACGAAAGTGCAAGGTATTCCTGTATACGCAAAAGGTCAGCCGCCGGACAAAGGTTCGTTGAGGCTATACGGGGAACCTTTGTCGTGTGTGTTGTGGGGGAGTGGTGGTACAACGGTCAGCGCACCGCGCTACGAACCCGGCGACCTGAGGTCCATTCCCGCTCATGAGCAATAACACTGGCGGATATTTTAACCCGTCCATGGGCCAGAGGTCGCAAACGGGTTTTGATTCCTTACCCGTACCCGGCCGCACCAAGGTCGAAAACGGATAACCGTACCCGTACCATACCCGATACCCGGCTACCCGTACCCAGCCGGGTATCGGGTAGGATACGGGTACCCGATTGCGACCTCTGGGATGAAGCCATGTTGCAGGCGCGGGTGGGTTGATTCTAGGAACTTGAATTGTGAGAAGAGATAAGACGTTGGGAAATGAGTGACAAACGTTGACTCACCAGTGACTCACGGCCTACCCGTACCCGTACCCGGCCGCACCAGGGTCGCAAACGGGTACCCGTACCCGGCCGGGTACGGGTAGCCGGGTATCGGGTAGGGTACGGTACGGGTATCGGGTACCCGGTTGCGACCTCTGCCATGGGCTCACCGATGTCTACTAAGTCTTAAATGAGAGCATCTGCTGCGGTGGGTAAACATCAGCATTGGGGAGACAAAGGTGGTGCCGGCCACTCACTGCCTCGTGTGCTGTGCCAACCTTCGTAGGTGTCGCTCGCTCGACCCAACAGTCTGTTAAAGGCTATATGGGGCATCTTTGTCTTTGTGTGTGTGTGTGTGTGCATCGTACCGGTGATCTTGAGTTTGAAGAGCGGGTTCCCAGCCTCTACTCTGCCCCCGTCCTCCACCAGCAGCTCCTGGATCACCCCACTTGTCGGGGCCGGCACCTGGATGGAAGTCTGCAAACCAGCGGCCAAGAAAGACAGATGAAATCAAGTTAGATCAAGAAAAGTTCTACACGTAGGCTTTAGCGGCCAATGTCATCCATAACACAGGTTTTTTGGGTTAGGTCGCGTAAATATATAAATGTGTCGTTAAACCCGCCACCACCCGGCACAGCCAATTTGTAAGGTTTGTCACGTAAACAGAACGTGCCAATTCGTCACTAGTACAGCGCACTGGTGTGTTGGAGAGCAAAGCCGCAACATTTACAATCTGAGTACGACGCTTCACCAGTAATTACAACTAGCTTCATCAGGCGACAGCCAGATTTGTGGAGAAATCCTCCCGTTTCGTTCCTTAAATAGAGGGGTAGATGTGATGACATCACTTGTGAGCCCTTCTTGAGCGAAGTGGGTACCCATTTCCGTTTGGGCTATTTATATGGTAATCAACTTGCATTATGCATGCGTATTATGCAAGCCTATTGTTCTTGTACCTCCTGTCGATGGAGTGCACTTTAATAGCAGTACCTCTATTGTCTGTTCAAAGGTAATCCCCATTGAAGTATGGTGACCTGTATAGCCATGAATTTAAGCAATGTATTATTTTATAATTTGCTTCCAAGTAGGACTAAGCCTGTAGCAATCCGAACGGTTACAATTATTTTAATCCTCTCAATTTCAATAGATTATCTAATTAGCCTTGGCCAGTAGAAACTAGTTTTGCACAGAACATTATCGAAATCAATTGAGTGTCCTTGTTGGCACGCGCGTTCTGCCACTGCCGACGGAAACAGGAATGTCAACATGGAGGAGGAGGAGCTTGGCACGGGAAGAGATGCTGCGAGCATGGCACGGGCAAAGACGGATACCACTTGTCTCACCTTGTCGGTTTCAATCTCGCACACAACTTCATCTTCCTTGACAAAGTCGCCCACGGCTGCAATGACAAATATCGCACATAAATATCACACGTTAATCTCGCGCGGCAAGGCGCGCGCGCACCACCCAAAAAATAAACATACACGCATTGCGACGCCCCCCCCCCCCCCCAACGCAAACACCGCGTCACGCCACCGACGCCTACGACCAAAAGCGCCCGGATTGCGCCCGATTTCGTCAGGGCTCGGAAAACATCCAGGGTTGTTGACGCTGGACAATCGCTCGGTTGGGTGACCACCAGCGCCACAAACGGGTGCAAGGCGGTCGCTGGGAACGCGTTTGCCGGGTGGCGGTGGTGGCGGCGGCTATGCACGTGGCTTGTAATCCAGCACTGTGGAGGCAGTGAGGATTGGTGGATCGCTCGCACATGTTGCTAAACTCCCTTTTCCGTGGGCATCGAGGTGCCATATGCAAACTTCATAGGAGAAGGCAGTGCGGTAAAAGTGTGGACTTCGCCTGTTCGTCTGAAAGGGATCGAATGCTTTTCCCCTCGCACGCGTGCGTTTTCTCTGGGCGCTCCGGTTTCCTCCCACATGTAAAAACACCCATTAATTTGCCGATAACACCCAAACATACACAGAGGACCGCAGAGCTTGGGCAATTGTTGGTGCTGGCCTAACCACCTGGGGCGTGGCTGCTGCCTTCCCACTCGCCCACGGTTCCCCGGCGCCTCAGAGTCGTTCTCTCCCTTCGAGAGCGTAACAAGTTTCGATCATTACTCGTAATTTTTTTAATATATAGGAGGGAACAAAAAAAAATGCGTCCAGCCGTACCTTTCTCCCACCTGACGTCGCCCTCTGTGACCGACTCCGCGAAGGCCGGCGTGTTAATCACACGGACCTCCTCGCCTGTTGAGATCAAACGCACGAGAGAGACACACACCGCGCACTCACAAGAGGCACAGCGTCGCATATCCGACCGTCGCATCGCATCGGTGCCCGACCTATTAACCGTCCACAGCAACTGTCATTTTCCGTGCGCGTTCACGAATCCGACTTAATCGTTTTACGCAGCAAGGCGAATGTTGTGTTTAATTGCAATGAACAAAGACCAGCGAACTTACAGAAATACGCAGAGGTTTTGAAGCTCCGGACACTCCAGTTTTCCCACAATACACCTCTCTGCCTGCAGTGTCACAAGTGAGAAGATGGACATTCATTCATTTAACATTTACTTCCTATGAGTACATGATTTTGTAATTAATATTATGACGCTGGTTTACCCACGAACGTCTCATCGAGTCTTGCCAACTTTTTGCAGAAGGGGGTGATGTTGCTGCTGTGTGCGATCCCAATCGAGTACATGCTGCAGGGAGTTTTTCAGTATTGGGATGTTTTGGCGAATACCAGTTGCGTTGTTGTTCTTTATTGCTATGGGAGGAAACCGGAAAACCCTGAAGAAACTCATGCAGCACAGAGAGAGAACATTCAAACTCCACACAGAAGGGCGCCAAAGTCTGTACTTGAACCCGGGTTCTTCTTACTGCGAGGCACAAGTACTACCACTACCCGCCACCATGCCACCCCAACGAAGCAAAAAATAATCTACAAATGTTGATCTGCGATCATCGTCAGCCATGATCAATCCACTACTGGATGGAAGCCTTGACATGCTGTTGCCATCTCTCATGATCTGGCGATGCAATAACCCTCAAAATGCTCACATACAAGACGATTTCATTGCTCCATCTCCTCAATGGACATCCTCTAGGAAGCGTTCCATCGCTTGGCTGCCACTCTGGTACAGGGACTCCTACTTACGAACGAGTTAGGTTCCAGCTCTGTTCGCAAGTCGATTTGTTCATAAGACCAATTTACTCCTGTCGATTCCAAACGTGTTGTACGGCATGAACGCTAAACACGGGGAATGGCTTTAAACGTTGTATAATCTCATGTAGATGCCACTGGTTCTTCATGTACTGCAGATGTAGATGCCTCCGCCGTGATCTATTGCGCGACTTTTGAACTCGCGACTCTCTCTTCGAACAGGCAACTGGGGACATACGGACCAGGTTTGTCCGTATCTCTAAAAGTTCCCGAGTCGAATGTTCGTAAGTAGAGGAGTCGCTGGACTATTCTTGATCGATGGCCATCATTCCTCGGAGCCATGAAGTGTCCTGCCCAAGGCCACTTACTTTTTCTTTGCAGTCTGAATGAGGTCATTAACATTCCCAAATGCACCGTGTCCCCTCTTTCTGTCTCTCCGTGGAATTCCGAGTGTGTAGCTCTCAGCTTACACGTGCTTTGAAGAGGTGCACTTATAACCATCTTCCCCCCCCATACGTAATTTGGGAGCCGTGCCTTGTGTTCATGTATTGTCATGACTTACGGTTGAAGGTTTTCACTTGTCAACTGCTTTGGTGTAGATGACAATGTAGCTCCTGAAATACATAGTGTAACATCATCATCATCATCACAATCCAGCATGGTCAATCCACTGCTGGATGAAGGCCTCCCGAAGCCACCGCAGTCTTTTGATGTAATAATCCGCACAGCACCTGCACACGAGATTATTTCATCGCTCCATCTCCGTGATGTACGTAGCCTTCCACGAGTTCCATTCCTTGGCTGCCACTCCGTTATTATTCTTGACCATCGAACCATCATCCCTTTGAGCCATGCCGTGTCCTGCCTAAGACCGCTTACATTTTATTCATACTCTTTGGTTCTTTGGGTAAAGTCACGTAGGAAGAAAAAATAATAGATCACGACGTTTCGATCGCAACAACAAGCGATCGTCTTCAGGTGAGAGATCAAAACGTCGTGATCTATTATTTTTCTACCTACGTGACTTTACCGAAAGAACCAAAGAGTATGGATTCCTGCAGTCACGAAAGCTTCAAATCAAGATTTTATTCATAGTTTCATTTCATGTAATTAGCCTGTGTAAGTTTGTCCGTAACAAAATAACATTTTTACAGAAGTTTGTGTCTCCACACACAAGTAAAAAATATTCTTCCGTATAGCAATATACACACAAAAAATATTGTTTTAACCCATCAGCCTCCGATTAGCACGGTTGGCTCCATACGATGCCAAGGAAGTTCAACATACGTGCAGCCTGTTGGCTTCCCAGACCGAAGTTATCGAGCAATGATTATTTTTAAGCGAGCAAACTCTGCAAGGACCTTGGTCTCGAGACACGATGCCGATAGCATAGCTGGGATAGAATTCGGTAAAAATGACAAAAAAAAACACAAATGGCTTTGCAGGGTACACGTGTGTCCCCCCCACAGAAAGCTATTGTAGCTGACAACACAACCGGGCCTTACAAAGTAACGCGACAATCGAGCAGGCTGGCAGGCCTGACGCTCGCACAGAATACTAATTTTAAATCTGCTTACTATGAGGTTTTCTGACCTCGGGGGCCTTTTAATTTTGCATCTCCCGTCACAGCAGAGTCAAGCTCACGGGGGTGCTTTCCCTCTCCCACATGTCCCAATGACACGCACCGTACACGAACATAAAAAACGCATCGATTCTTACGTGCGCAATTCAACGCACGCATGCATCGTGATGCTTAAGAGCCAATATCTTGGTTTTTTTTTATTTGAACTGTTTTGTCTTACGCACAATTACACCACTAAATATAGAAAAGTGTGATTATGACTCAGCCCATCATCCTTTCGAGGTCAGTTAAATGAGTACCACTTTGTGCAGAAGTCAACTGTGGTTGTCCTAAAGACTCGTCCCCGCCATAGGAATGTGGAAATTCCATCAGTGGCTGAGAACTGGAGAGTCGAAAAGCACCACCTCCAATACTCATTAGGGAGGCAAATCGCATAGACTTGCATTTTTCAAAGTGTCATCAAACGTCGAGTTGCAAGTCTGGAACCATTCACATTGTGCAGAAAATCAAAGCCTGTTGACAATCCACCACTTGCTGGATCAATGTCCCCCCCCCCCCAATACAGTATCAATCACAGGGATCGTTAGAACGTACTTCACCACGAAGGGAACTTAAAAAGTGCTTCAGTTATCACTGGCCACTGACGATAACCGTGGCCGGGATTCGAACTCAGGTCGCTGGGTTCAGCGCTCTGCCGACTGCGCCAATGTTCCAACCCTTCTCGTATCGAATTACCGCATTTAACTAACGATTCAGTGTCCGTCTCCCTCCATTCTAGCATCACCTTTGCTCGTCATTGCACGCGGATACGAGGACACAGGATGGACAAAACTAGCCATCGACGGCGCTACAGTTGGATGACCTTGCTGCTCATAACTCAAAGGGCCCACAGCCGCATGCTAACGACACATCGTGTGCCGACATGTCACGCTACCGTTGTTGCACAAGCGTCGCATGTGCAACGTATTATGCCGCAATGTTACGTGGGCCGGCAGTACAGTTCAAGGTAAGACACGCAGAATTCTCAGGGTTAAAATCAATGTGCAGGTCCGCCGCTTGGACGTTCCCCATTAAAATGACTTTTGACCACTTTGGCATTGGTGTAACCGTCTGCATGCCCCTACAAGTGCTGTGAAATATCCGGGTATAAATACCAGCCCTGCGACCTGTTGTTGGTACCCCGCTTAGCCCTACCAACCATCTGTGTACCCTTACAAGCCCTGTCAAGTATGCGGGTACCACTACTAGCCCTGTCACCCGTACGTGTGCCCCTACCAGCATATTGGCTATATACTTTAACAATCCAGACTGTTTTAAATGTACTCATCTGTATATTGCAAAATTATAGTAATAAATAATCACTACATCCTAATTGCATTCACCTGTAATTACATGCTTTGGATTGTCTGAGATTTTGAATGTAGGTTTGATTTTTTTGGCTTCGTACAAAAGTCGGGAGAGCGTCCTCAGTGTCTAGCGACAAAGGTGAAGAGAACACCTAAGAGAAGATGATGGGACGCTGTCAGGGCAGACCTTGGAGGTCACTGCGTGTCAACTGCGTAGCAGCTGCGGTATCTAGCAGAGGTTAGAAAGCGTTGGCGAGGAGTGGTGGTAGTGGCGGTAGCATCAAGGGCTTTGGCGACGAAGACATCTCGATCTAACCTGATACAACCGTGCTGTCGGTTGCTTCTGCGGCAGGCACACATCACGTGGCGTGCAATGCGGCCTCCTTATCGCATTAGCATTCCTGTACAGGTCTACGAACACGCACATCGCCGGTTTGCACTGCCCGCATATTTCTATGGCAGAAGTACAAACGCGCGTTCATTGCTCTGTCCTTGATGCCAATGCTTTAGCGACGACCTCCCAGTAAAAGTGAAACGTTTTTGGCCAATGTCGGTCCATCGTTGGTCCGACAGTACCTGCCAACGTTGGCCCAGTGTTGACCGTTTGCCGGGCTGTGACCGCGGAGTGGAACTTATACGATGGAGCACAGTCAACTGGTGACTGCCCATCAAAAGCATTGAATGGTGGCAAAAAAGCAGTCGATGCCGTTGCACAACTAGAGAATTCAGACGTCAATTTATGTCACCTGATGCCACATGACACCAATGAAGGCAGAAAAGGAACATTCGTGACCAAATAAGTGAGGTCATAATTTTGGATGAATCCGAAACGAAATACAAATCTAAGATCGTCCAACATGTGCTAACGTTACCCAATTTTCAACATCTTATATTGATCCCAAAGTCGTGAAGACATCTCAACCACATTTACACTACCGAACGCAAATATATGGACCACAGAGTAACACCTATGCCTGCTTGAATTATTCACTGGCAGAATAATGGTTATTCACCAGGCTACTCCTGAAAACCGTCTCGTGGTTCACTCAGCAACCTCAACATGAACATATGGACGTTGCTGATTAACTCTCCGCCATACAGACGACGTGTTAATGTAAGTCTACGGTTCTTCTACGTCAGTCTATGGGCATCTATGCGCATCTGTCGGTGTTAATACGAGTGTACGGGTCGCTATGGAAATCGATCAATCTCTCTGCGAATTAATATCTTAAACCGTGGATGAGATACTTTACCGCTGTTCGCTTCGAACATTCGCTGACGGCATTGCAAATATCCGGCCAAGTGGCTCGGCGGTTACGTGAATGGCTCACAATTGAGAGGTTGAGAGTTCAAATTCTGGTTGCGGTTCGACTCAGCCCATCATTGTTAGGGGTTGATAAAATAAGTGTCACTTGGTGGAGAAGTCAAGAGTGGCTATTCTATCCATAGACCCACTATCTCAGTGCTTTAAACGGATGAGCACCACCTCAATGCTCATTTGAGCAAGAAATCAGTTTTGACTTTTCGATTTCAGATATTCACCTGGCTACTACCTGAAGCCACCCAATGGCTCAATCGCCAACCTCACCATGAACATTTTCACAATGCTGCTCAACACAAACGTTCCAAATTATAAAGTTACCGACATATCACCAAATTTAGTTTAAGCACAGCAATGGCAGACTAATACCCCGGGTCACACTAGCAAATTTAAGACTATCCTTGTCTTCAAAGTTTTCACCTAGTTAAACAAAATAACCTTGAAACTCCCCACCATACAAAAGACGACTGCATATACTAGGCCAGTGGTTCTTAACCTCGCATACCAAGAAGGTGCGTGCACCCCAGGTTAAAAATCGCTGTTCTAGGCCATCTGGAAACTGGGCGAGCTGGTACTGCCGCTTGGGAGATCGGGCAGTCCCTTACAATCTAAAAGTGGATGTTAGCCTTGATTTGAAGCTTTCGTGACTGTAGGAATCCATACTCTTTGGTTCTTTCGGTAACTTTACCAAAATAACCAAAGAGTATGGATGTTAGCCCTTGGGATACTGTTTAAATGCACTCCTAAACAAACAGCCGGGCCCAGCCAAAAAACTATCGCGACGTTATGGTGACCCTGCGACCAATCCAAATAATTGATGTCACCAAGCCCCGCCCCTCCTCTGACCTCCCGTCCAGCAGCAAACGTGGAAAAAATTAACCCGTAAAAACAAAGTTTTTCACTATAAATCCTTTATATGCGTCCTCTGGCTTGAGATGGCTGCCACCTATGGGTCAGATGCCTGCCACCATTAAGCAATTGGTAATTAAATACAAAAACAAAAATTCCTAAAAAGTGTAAAGTTCCGGAAAAAATTTTCACGAAAATAAATTGTCACGCACAACGAGTCTGTGTGCAAAATGTCAGCTCGATTGGATCACGGGAAGTGGGTTAAAAAACGATCGAAAGATTTGCACGGTCGTAAGCAAGCAAGCAAGCACGCAAGCACGCAAGCACGCAAGCAAGCAAGCGAACTTAATATAAAGGATTTAAAAAGAGGTAAGACTTATTTTCTTCCAACTATATTGGTTGTTATTTAGATTAGTTGAGTAATCGGACTGATAATTATCAGCAGAGGAATCGATTACTTATGGGTGGCAGTAAATCATCAGACAGCCCACGGGTGCCACAGTAAGAAGAACCTGGGGTCGATTCCTGACTGGGTGCACCTTTAGGACCTCCTCCTGACTTGCGTTGTTTTTTTCATGACGTTATTAAGCGTTGACTAATTATCAGAAAGCAGGATCCTTTCCTGGGTAAACCAAGCACTTGCTATACAGTGCAGTACTTATTATAACAGACCCCTAATAATGTGTGACGCGAGCATGTAATCAGCTATTATGACGCATCTCAGGATCGAGTCTACTCGTAGGACAACCAATGTCAGACTTCCCTACAAAATGGAAATTTGAAACGTGGCACCACAAGCCACAACATGGCCGTAACGCGTCTTCGAGCGATGCCACGGAATCTTTAACGCCCATTGTGCAGCAGAAAGACGCGTGGCCCGTCACGGTTAACAGACGCCGCAGCATCATGGGACCTCCGAAGCCAGTAGCAAAATATACTAATAGGGTTTTTCCCCTTTTTTCTGACAACAAAAACCTTTTGGCGTCATCTGGTCGAACACCATATGAGACGAGGCTCTAAAGAAAGCTGTCTCTGGTGTGGACCAATCAGTTTCAAAGATAATGCATTTGACTGCAAGTATTGTGGTTAATGTAAGCATGATTCCATGCAAAAGGTGTCAGTTTTTGTTGCCAGAAAAATGGGGAAAAACCCTATTAGTAGACGCCGCAGCGTTGGCGAGGGTGGCTGCGGTGGCTCCCTGACAACAGCGGAAAATGTTGTGGAAGATGATGTGCACGGTTGTGTTCATTTGATCAATACGACCGGCTTCACATGAGCAGACACTCAAGTCTTGGGATGTAGTCAAGAACCACACCCCAATGACCACACCCTAAGGGGCACACACACACACTCACTCACCCGAAGTAAGCAGACGTCTTGCAGGTCGATTACTGCTGGCCTGGTGGTGAGAAACAATGAGAAGACAAAAAAAACAGTGGAAAATATAAATGTATGGAAGAATTCACTTTTAGACCTTTGAAATATGCACAGAGTACAACATCGCACATCCGACCCCTCTCTGGGAAATGAAGCAGAGAATAAATGTGATATGTTGGTAATGTGAAAAGAAGCAGAGAAAATGGCAGTTTAGGTGTGCGCACCGATAGGTTAATGGACAAAACTAACGCGCAAACTGCTCTAAAAATACTAAATTGTGCTTCAGAAGTGAATGTACGCGAGATGTAAGAGAAGGCTGGATTTGCGAACATCTGTATAAAATGGTCAGTTATACCGTGCATACCTACTGGGTTAAGGGAAGTTAATTGATCAGGGCGGATTTTGTGAAAAAGCTTTGTAGCTCATCGGATTCCTCCAGTATAAATACATTTTATGATTCGGATTTTGGATTTGCGACGTTGCACTGTAGTTCTTTAACAGAAGGTAGCTGTGAGAAAATATAAGTTAGGCCCTGTACACTATTAGTCATAGTGCTGGAATTTTTAAGATGCTGGGTATGTGCCATACGTGATGTTCGTGCCCATATCCAGTACTGAACAGTATTCAAACAGAATGGACATCATTTGTTTAAAATCCCCTACAAACCGGACTGGAACGAGCGCAGAAACGAGTCAATGCCGGCAGAAACAAAGCAGAGTTATGCAGTACAGAAAGTTTTCTCCTCTGTCAAAGTACCAATCGTTTTATGGTCATATATGCATATCTACAATGTTTCCATGTGGATAATGTAATGGGTCGGCCCTTTATCGATCCACTGCTGGATGAAAGCCCCTGCCATGTATATTGGACATGGCGGGATGTTTGACCATACTTCGCTCCTGGAAACTCGCTAAGGCTTTGCTGAATACACGGTATTAATAATAGGGTTGGCTCGCTGGCAAAGGGGTTAAGCGCACTGTGCCCAAATCTCCGGTGACCCGAGTTCGATTCCCGGCCACCGCTACCATCACCGCCTAACCAACCAAGTACGGAGAAGGGCCTTCACGCGAATCTTGAACTTCTTTCGCACCATACGCAGGCAAACCTGCTAATAGCGTCGTCGTTCACGCAAAATCAATCGCCGAGGAGCCAAAGACAATCTGAAAGGCAGCCAGGCGGTGAAGGCAGCAGCAATTGCACCAAGTTCTGCGGTTCTCTCTATATGAAGATGTTTTCAGCCAATTAATGGGTGTATATACGTATGGGAGTAAAACCAGAGAGTATTGCACGCGTGAGAGCAGTGGGTAGACAAATGGCTTTGAAACATATTAAAATCCTAATGCAGAAGGACCTTTACGAAATTCTTGAGACTATGTGAGGGCAATCTCATTCCTGGATAAGTGACATTATTACTTATATGCGGGGCCCTCTTGAATAGTGCATACATTTATATTATTGATAATAAGAAATAATAGGCTTTACCCTTTGCGACAATGATACGGGTATTAAGATATTATTATTGCAATGCAAGGCCACACTCATAAGATCAGTCTCGTGTCTCCTGGGTTGAATGACATCGATTCCAATGCAGGGGCCTACTTGAAAAACCTGTCCTCAAGATTTCCTCGTTCCAATGGTGTAAAAAAACACATTAATTACCTCATCTGACAGGACAATATTGTGAGGTTAAATTCATCGCATTAACATACTGCAGGGGCAAGTGCTGTTAGCGAGCACCTATGAAGGCCGGCACTGCACATGAGGGGGTGGGTGGACTGCACCACGCCCGACCGCCTTTGTCTCCCCAGTGGCGATGTTTTTACGCACCGCACCAGGTACTCATTTGAGGACGAGTCGACCTAGGGGAGGCCCAAGACCGGTTCGGAGATAATCGTCACCGGTGTTGGCCGTGAGCGGGAATCGAACTCGGGTCGCCAGGTTCGTAGCGCTAACCGCTGCACCGCCGCTCCCCACACTTTATGACACCCGCACAGACGCACACAGACACACACACAACACACAGAGACACACAGACACACACACAGATACACACAGACACCCACAGACACCCACACAGACACACAACACACACAGATACACACACACTCACACACACACAGACACTCACACACACAGAGACACCCAGACACACACACACAGAGACACACACACAGACAACACACACAGATACACACATACACTTACACACACAGATACACAGACACACACAGACAGACACACACAGACAGACACACACACAGACAGACACACAGACGGACAGACACACACACAGAGACACACACACACAGACACACACAACCCTCACGCGTTTCACCATCACATCATTGACAAGTCCTCTGCATCGTGAACCACCACCACCACCACCACCACCAAACTACCACCACTACCATCACGGGCCCCGCAATACAATAATGGAGACGCGACTGGTTAACAAATCCAAACGTCGGTAACAACTTACAGGCAAAGGGGATAACAACAACACCAACAACAAAACACCCACAACCGCAGCGAATCCCTGTGGCGATCTTTAAACCCCAAGGCGTTAGCAGCAGCAGCTTGTAACACAAAACACAACACAGCTTGTAACACAAAACACAAACACAGCTTGTAACACAAAACACAGCTTTGCCGCGTGACATGTGTGGGATTCACTCCGCTATCGATACACATTCTGAATCTAAAGCCCCGAGCTTTAAGCAAGTAACTGCAATCGCTACCCACGATACATTAAAACAAGGACACACACAGAGGCCTTGCTCGGACGGCTCAGCTAGACTGACCTTCCACTAAGGTTGAAGGGGTCAAACATCGCGTAAATTTATAACAAAACGACGCTCATGTCACTCACTCACTCGCCACTCACTCGCTCACCACCACTCACCACCACCACCCATCAGCAAACTCACCCCGAGGCCGGCGGGTGAGCCCCGGGCGAGGTGAATTCGGCCCAGACTCCGTGGGAGGCGTCGGCCTGAAGCGAACATGGTGGCTGCCTGGCTGCAGAGTGAGAGAGGGAGAGGGGGGGAGGGGGGGTGAGAGAGGGGAGGGGGGGCGAGGGGAGGGGGGGTGAGAGGGGGAGGGGGGGCGGAGGGGGGGAGAGGGGGAGGGGCGGAGGGGTGAGAGGGGGGGCGATGGGAGGGGAGGGGGTGAGGGGGGGGGGCGGAGGGGGAGGGGCGGAGGGGGAGGGGCGGAGGGGGAGAGAGAGGGGAGGGGTGAGAGGGAGAGGGAGGGAGAGAGGGGAGGGGGGGCGGAGGGGGAGGGGCGGAGGGGGTGGGGTGAGAGGGGAGGGGGAGAGGGAGGGGGGTGAGAGGGGGGTGAGAGGGAGGGGCGGAGTGGGAGGGGCGGAGGGGGCGGAGGGGGCGGGGCGGAGGGGGAGGAATCCGGGGATCGCACGCCTCCTTCATACACCCACGTGGTGGCGGTGATGACGGTGGTGATGATGGTGGTGGTGGTGATGATGGTGGTGGTGATGGTGGCGATGATGATGATGGTGGTGATGGTGGTGGTGATGGTGGTGGTGATGATGATGGTGATGATGATGGTGGTGGTAGTGATGATGGTGGTGGTGATGGTGGTGGTTATGGTGATGATGATGGTGGTGATGGTGGTGGTTATGGTGATGATGATGGTGGTGATGGTGGTGGTGGTGATGATGGTGGTGGTGATGATGGTGGTGATGATGGTGGTGATGATGATGGTGGTGGTAGTGATGATGGTGGTGGTAGTGGTGATGGTGGTGGTGATGATGGTGGTGGTGATGATGGTGGTGATGATGGTGGTGATGGTGGTGGTGATGATGGTGGTGGTGATGATGATGGTGGTGGTGATGATGGTGGTGGTGATGATGGTGGTGGTGATGATGGTGATGATGATGGTGGTGGTAGTGATGATGGTGATGATGGTGGTGATGGTGGCGATGGTGGTGGTGGTGGTGATGATGGTGGTGATGATGATTGTGAGGAGCGTAGCTGTTCGCGCGTTACACTACGAACCCGGCCACCCGAGTTCAATTCCCACTCTGACGGCCACCAACACCACCAGTGACGATTATCTCTGAACCGGTGCTGGGCCCTCCCCTAGGTCGACTCAGCCTCAAATCAGCACCTGGTGCAGTGTGTAGTAAACCTCGCCACTGGGGGAGACAAAGGCGGCCGGGCGTGGTGCTGGCCACCCACCCCCTCGTGTGCCACAGTGGCAGCCTTCATAGGTGCTGCTACTCGCTAACAGCACTTGCCCCAACAGTCTGTCGAGGCTACACGGGGGATCTTTGTCTTTAGTCTCTGTAGAACCGCATGCGGCTCTTTAAGCTAAAGGGCAAACTTCGTGACCCTTACTGATATGTAGATGATGAGAGACCACCGTTTCTCGTATTCACAACCACTTGCAACTGTGGCTCTTTGAAATACTGAGTTTTGTTCACCAAATTCGAACACCACACACACAAAATGTATCACAGGGCGACATCTGGTCGAGACGGGAGAGGACAACACTTTTTCACCGACTGTCCACGTGAGAGAATGATGTTCGTAGTATGACAAGAATAAGCCGGTATTTCAATTGTTCCAGCTGACAACAAACATGGCATTGGTTTAAAATGCAGAAGCAACATTTAATAATGTGAATGGGTTTTTTTTTTTAAAAGCAGTTGTTGGTGATTGTGCTGGTACCATCATCAACTCACTCCACTTGAGAACCCACGACCCGGACTCGAACGCAGCCCTCTCTGCACATCTGAGTCTTGCCGTACCGAAATTCACACTTTTGAAATACAACAATGCTTACAACACACCAAAAATCAACATTCGTAATCAACACTGCCTTCACATATATATAATCGGCAACGTTTCGGGGAATTGCCCTTCATAGCACGTGATATGAAGGGCCATTGCCCGAGACGTGGCAGATTGTAAAGGTTTTTTATTTGTAGGCAATGCTGTTGATGAATATGTTGAGTGCTTTGTTGTGCTCGCTAATCACTTCCTTTACACATTTACTAGCTGTACTACCCGGCTTCGCCCGGGACTTGTATCCACCACGGCTGGCCGCCTTTGTCTCCCCAGTGGCGATGTTAATACGCTACAGCAGTTACTCGTTTGAGGCAGAGTCGACCTAGGGGAGGTTCAAATAATCGTCACCGGTGGTGGCCGTGAGCGGGAATGGAACTGGGTTCGCCGGGTTTGTAGCGCAGCGTAGCGTTAAGCACTACACCCACCGCTCCTCACACACCACACACGCACAGACACACACACAGACACACAGACACACGCAGACACACACAGACAGAGACACACACACACACACAGACAGCACGCTAACCACTACACTACCGCTCCCCACACACCACACACGCACACACACAGACACACACACAGACACACACACACAGACACAGGCAGCACGCTAAGCACTACACTACCGTTCCCCCTACACAACACACGCGCGCGCGTCCATAGGTACACATACACGCGCTTGCTGCAGACACACACGACTTTCAGGGTGCGTACGGCAGTAAACGACTGAAATAATAAAGCGGCAATGCTGCGCAAGGAACTCCTTAGACCTGCAACACATTTGTGTAATGCGAGCGTAAACACAAACACATACAAACACATACACAATACACACACACATACATGCAGACACACAGACAGACACATAACACACATACATACACACACATACATACACAGAAACACATACACACACATACATAGACACACACATACATACACACAAACACATGCACACACGTACATACATACATACAGACACGCAGACATACACATAAAGACATAGAAAAAAACCCACATACATGCACACACACACAAACACATACACACACATACACACATACATAGAGACACACAGACATACACATAAACACATACACACATACACATGACCCGGCTTCGCCCGGGACTTGGATCCACGATGCCCGGCCGCCTTTGTCTCCCCAGTGACGATGTTCACACACGACAGCAGTTACGCGTTTGAGGCTGAGTGGACCTAGGGGAGGGCCAGGTCCGTTTCAAATAATCGTCAGCGGTGGTGGGCGTGAGTTGGAATCGAACTGGGGTCGCTCAAACAGCTTAATGACTATTTGTACAAAGAACATATAAAGAATCGATTATAATAACCAGGCTACAGTCCACATTACAGACTGGCAGTACACGCAGTCAGCTTCATAAGCAGGCTAGAGTGTACATGATAGAGTGGCAGTACGCTCACCGAGCTTAATAAGCAGGCTACAGTCTACATGATAGACTGGCAGTACGCTGACCCAGCTTAATGACTATTTGTACAGTGAACATTTAAGTAATCGATTGTTGGCGCGTTGGGTTTAAAAGTAATATTAATTGCACACATTGTGGTGGGGGTGGAGTGAAGAGTAGGAAAAACTTTGATGAATTTACCTCAGAGTGGCGTGGTGGGTGTGGAGGCCTAGTAGCGTGCAGAGCCTGCGGCCTCGCCAAAATTGTCCAGCCGGCAGAGGCAGGGTACGGGTGGCGTGCCTTCCCCCCCTCAGCGCTCCAACAATACTGTGTAATGGCTATTATTTAATTATTTACGGAGCCTATGAAAGTAGCGAAGGCGTGGCTAGCCGTTGGCAGGGGCAACCGCCGTCCAATGAAACTGCAGCCCTTGGCGAAGGCGTCGCTAGCCGTTGCCAGGTCCAATGAAAGCGGCGAAGGCGTCGCTAGCCGTTGCCAGGGGCAACCGCCGTCCAATGAAAGTGCGTATGGTCCGAAATCCACACACACACACACAGACGGACAGACAGACATCTACGATTTTATATATATAGATTAGAATTTTCATCGTGAGTGAGCTCCGTATGGTTGCATTCTTTAGCAATTTCTTCAGTCTCCGGCTTTTGCAAATCACATTTCCTTGCTTGAGGATTTAACTACGCGTTGTGGTTACTCAGAAAAAATTGCCTAAAACAGCACAATCGTACCTCTGTACATTACCAAGGCACCGATATCCCTATTAATGGCACAACTCAACTCATTTATCACCAGGTCTCATCGTAAAACCTTGGGGTAACGACCCGATGCTTGTCAAACCCAAAGGCTACTGCAATAAACGAAGATGATGCTTGCTGCCTGCGGCCTGCATACAGGAACGCCATCCACCACACTTAGGGTAGGACCTCTAAGGCTTTCCCACCTGATGATGGACGCTTGTGTTGCGCCCGAAACGTCGTGATTTATTTTATTTTATACCTACGTGACTTTACCGAAAGAACAAAAGAACAGGTACATTGTTTGAAATCGGGGAAAGCCTGGAGCACTCACCCCTGGCAGCGGATCCAGATGCAGAGTTCTAAAGCAAAACCCCATAGCCATGTGTAAAGTCACGTGTGTTTTCTGGCTCTCGGACATATGAAGATGGATGTTGGTAAGTGGCTTGTAGGGTCAGGAAGTTTGGCCACCCCTGGATTATACAACCACGACAGGGCAAAACATACGGACCAAGCACAAGCAGCAGGTAAGAGTGCAGGATATTTATTTTAAAGGGTTCGGTGCAGAGGTCCACATAAATAAGTTCGAATCATTATATTTGTTGCAGAGAATGTGAAACTTGAAGGGGAAGCAGCACAGGAGTTGCATATGAACACTTTGATGTAGCCATGTTGAACACAATTTCAGATGAGGACCGAGTGGGTCAGATTTGAGATGCAGAATCAAATTTATTATCCGAGTAATAACCCATTGAGATATATCACTCTTTTTCAAATGTGACTCAGCCAACAGACACGTTAACAAGAGATGCATGCTGGGACTTGAAACGTGCACAAGATAACTCACTCCGGTTTCACGTCACATCGAAAAAGATAAAATAAAGACGCCTTCCCAGAATACAGTCACAGGTGCACAAAAATACTCAAGGGCAATACATAATAATCAGATGTAAAAATAATATGCACATATAACAAACTATTGTACATTAATCAGTGTGCTTATTTCTGGACCCAAGCAGCCTGGAACTTTGAATACTAGATTTATGATGAGTATCTGCACACCACTC